ATAGCAGCTACCAATCATGCAGCCAGCAACCCCGCCGTCCCTGCACAGCCAGGACAGGCGGCCCCTGCAACTGCTGCAATGGTGGGACCCCAGCAGGCCCCGCCCCAGCTGCAGGCCCCGGCCCAGCTGCAGGCCCCGCCCCAGCTGCAGGCCCCGCCCCAGCTGCAGGCCCCACCCCAGCTGCAGGCCCCGCCCCAGCTGCAGGCCCCGCCCCAGCTGCAGGCCCCGCCCCAGCTGCAGGCCCCGCCCCAGCTGCAGGCCCCACCCCAGCTGCAGGCCCCGCCCCAGCTGCAGGCCCCACCCCAGCTGCAGGCCCTGCCCCAGCTGCAGGCCCCGCCCCAGCTGCAGGCCCCACCCCAGCTGCAGGCCCCGCCCCAGCCGCAGGCCCCAGCCCAGCTGCAGGCCCTGTCCCAGCTGCAGGCCCCGCCCCCACCACCACCCTTGCCGCTGCAGCCGCCACCAGTGGCCCCGCAACAGCCAGGCCCCACGGCCGCGGCAGCAGCTCTACAAGGGCTAGGGGCACAGGCCGGCCCCACGGTGGTGGAAGAGGAAACCACAACCCACAGGGAGTGCGACACCACACTGGCGGCACCACGGGAGCAAGAGCCACCAGCAACCATAGCCAATACAGTCCCCACCTTCCTGTTCACAGCAGGTAGGAAGGAGCCAGGTGGCAGGCAATGGGCAACCGGGGGCAAAGCTAGGCAGCAGATGTGCCCTGAGACGAACCAGGACCCTACACCGTCTGAGGCCCCAAGGAGGAAGCGGCAGCGGCTGGAGCACCTTACTGCAGAAGAGCGGGCAGAGCGAAACAAAGCCCAGATGGAGATATGGAGGGCACAGAGGGCAGCAGAGGAAGCCGGAGAGAAGTTAACTGCGCAGCTGCAAACTGGCAGCCAGGCCCAGCCCTCCGACAGCACACAGGTCCCAAGCCTGCAACTGCAACTGACAGCTAGAGACCCGTCCCCCAGCGAACCCCACGCCCAGTGAGCAGCCGCCGTGCAATGCCAGCAACACCTGAGCACCCACAGCCCAGCATCAACACAGGGGGATGAGGAGGAGGAGGAATACATCCCTACCGCCATGGAGGCGGAACACTCCGACTAAATGCCAAGCAGGGGGACCAGGAGAAGTCAGCAGCAAAATGCTGTGCAAGGCCATCCACTCCGGATTGCCACACACAACATGCACGGACTGCTGGCGACACATGGAAACCGCCTGCAGGCAGCAGTTCAGCAGTGGGCAGAAATGCGCCTGGACGTGGTATGCTTGCAGGAGACACATCATACCAACATCCAGCACCAGTGCCTTTTTGAGCGGGACTTGCGCCAAGCCGCAATGCGGGTACATAGCCAAGGCTGGCGGGTGGCGGCACACTCGTGGTCTAGCTCGACACACACAGCGGGGGTACTCATCCTCGTCCAGCAGGGCCTTGCAGCAGCCCTGGAGCCGCCACCGAACACAACCCGTCAACCTGCCTCGCTCTCTATGTCCTTGTATTCCATTGTTATACCTGATACAGTTTACACTAGCCACGACTCTAGGATACAGGACGGACCAATAGCTTCCGTGCCGTCTTGACCTGAACAAGTGCAACTCTATAGTTCCATAAGCTGGAAAATGGAACAAGACTTTCCCGGAAGTATTGAACTCTGGTGTGCTTTAGGGGAATCCTATGAACAGCAGAGCCAAAACATGATACCGCTTAGTTTTGAGCTGGGAGGTAACATGATATCAGCGATCATTTTCAAGAAGCAGTGGTGTGTGGGATCATGGAGCGGGAAAACTGCAAGGCCTTCAACGAGCTGAAGCGTCAATGTATGTTCCCCGCCCCGTTGGCTTGGACTTTGGCGCACCTAGTAAATTTCCGCTTGGGTGACACTTGCTGGGTTGTACTGGATTCCAGGCCCTAGCTACCCTGGCTTGTACTGCTCAAGACTAGAACTAGAAGTCTGTGCCAAGCACTGACTAATGCTGGGGCATGGCCAAACCGGACCCCGCCAGGCTTCGAGGGCCTATGGCCACGCGACATCGCCACAGGAAAGCTTTGCCTGCTGGACAAGGAGGACAATGGGGTGCTTCCAATCGGGAGCGCGCGCGGGCTGGCCTACACGGACCTGATCACCGGTGAGCCTGTGTCCTGTTATTGGGTGCCGAATGTCAGATTCGACTTACGTGTTCTACGTGTTCCAAGAGCCCACACGCCGCATTTTCCCCTTTAGCCCCTTGGGGGGTGGCGCTTGAACGTTCGACTCCATAGGCCCACCGGCCCCGAGCCTTGTTGCTTGGTACGCTGCTCCACCGATGGGGCCAAATGACGTCTTGGCCACACCGTGGCGCCACCCCCCCCCTCCCCTGCATCTCCCCTGCCAACCGCCCAAAAGGGTTCATCTGCTACACGCTCCTGACTACCGAGTACAATGGAGACCTGCCCTTTTCTGGGGCGCCAACACCAGATGGGGAGTCAGTGGCGACGGTGCGGATGTGGCTAGACCTGGTGTCCGTGGGTGCACACGAGGCCGCACTCTCTGCCCACACAGACCTGCTGACCAGCCAGGTCGCGCGGGGTTGCCAGAGGAGCAAGGCCCCCTGGCTCGTTCCGGGCATTGGGCAGGTGGCGCCCGACCAGAAGTACCCGCTGCGGCAGCTCTGGAGCAGTGTCCGCATGTGAGTGGTTGGGTGAAGGGAGCGTGGCGGGGATGCAGAGGCCAGCCACCACGCATGCACGGGACAAACCGAAGGGCCTTCTGAAGACAACTGATCAAACTGCCAGACCGGAATCATGATGATCTAGGTGCTAGTGGATAAGGCCCAGCTCCTCCCCTCACCAAACCACAGGAATCTGACACACGCCAAGGGGAACCAACACAGAAAAAAGAAGGGGGTCAACCATAGCACTAAGGATGGTCAGGACAGGAGTGCAACGATGCAGAAACTCGCCATGAAGGCGAACATGGCGTCCAAGATGCTAACTGGCCTTTCTGTCATGGGTGGGAGTGAGGGTGCTGGCACCAGTCTCATGTCGGACCTGCGTGGGCTCCAGGCACTTTACACACAGAAATGGTCGGACACTGGGGGAGCAGCGACTGCAGTGGCCGCCGGGACAGCTCAGGGTGGCGCAGCAGCAGCTACGGGTGCAAGGCACAAGCAGGGCGACCCGCACCAGACTGCCTCAAATGCCGAGGCAGGCACGCACCTCTGGTTCTCCCTGGAGGCGGGTTTCTTCCTTCACCCCAACCATGAAGGCAATTACCCCATCGACGCCCTGGCCAACATGGCTGGCATGACGAGCCAGTGTGCAAGCAGCCTGCCGACCCTCAAGGACCACCAAAGCCTGTACCTGACTTACACTGACAAGCTGTCTGCCTTTGGCAGCCACGCCTCTCCAGTTGCACCAATCGGCCTGTTTATGGCCATGGGTGCATCTGCCAGCATCCGGGATGCCGGGGAGCTCCTGCAGATGTACTGGTCTAAGGTAGCCAGGGAGAAAACCTCATCGACGTGGCCGCAGGCTCACCTGATCACGGATACGGCACAAAGGCTGTTCGGGATCAGCCAGGAGGGCCTGGCCGTCGGTGGGCCCGCGCCTGGCAAGGCGACCGCCACCAGCAAGAAGGTCTTGGACAAGGTCCTGCGACCGTCGACTATCACTGAAGACCACGGTGCTGTGGCAGCCGCAGTGGGAGCTGAGGTGGTGGATGCTGCGGCTAATGATGGTGCTGGTGCAGCAGTGAGAGCAGCCGCCGGGGACCACGAACAGGCGGTGGGTGGCGGAGAGGCTGCTGCCATGGGTGCACATGCCGTGGATGGCGGCAAGGGTGGCAGCCGCACAGCAGGTGTCGCAGCAGCAGCAACCGCAGGGGGGGACACCGGCACGGGTCCCAGGCAGGGCGAGGTGGGCGTTGCCCAGGTAGCAAACCTAGCAGCTGAAACTGCCCAGGCCATGCGTCCCAGGGGTGGCAGGACCAGCACTGTGTGCGGGCATGGCAACAGCCCAGGCCCCAGTCGAGGTCACAGGTGCCGCTGGCGGCACGTGCGGCCGTGGGTGATCCGGAACCGCCGCTGGCATGCACGGTGGTCGAGGGTGTGGATGCAGCAGTGGCGGGAGAACTGGGCGCGGGACAGGGTGCGTGGAGAGCAACACAGGCGGTGGAGCCGAGGAGGCATGGGTGTCTGGAGAGAACGATACGATTCAGGTGAGGAGTGTTTGCTCGTTTCCGGACTGCTTGCAACCAGGGCTGCCTTGTAACCCTTTTGGAACCTGGGGAGCATGTTGAACAAGGTCGAGGGGTGCTGATGGGTTATGTCAACATTCAACATCAGGGCAGCTTGTTGGGTCTTACCCTGATATTTTACCTTGAATGTAAGCACTGGGTGTTGCCGCCCCCCCCCCCACACACAGGACGAGGATACCACCAACTGCGATGCATTCAAGGAGTGGGTCAGCGAGGTGCCAAGAGCAGCTAAGGGCGAAGCTGGCAAGCACAGGCGGGGTGGCGGTGATGACGACGACCTGGGTGTGAGGTCGGGGTGCAAGGTTGGAAATAAACGGCAGAAGGGGAACAAGGGTGCAGGCCGGGGCAGGGGTGCAAGCAAGGGGACCGCCAGAGGTGCGGGGAAGGGCGGTGCAGGCAAGGGAGGGCGGAGGGGGCGGACAGAGGAGGGTAGCTCGGAGGGTGGGTCGGACGCTGGTGAGGAAGAGGTCCTAGCCGCTGGCGCTGGGGAGGAGTCCAGCTCGGAGGACACGGGCAAATATAGCGAAGCTAGCAGCAGCAACAGTGGCAGTGGCAGCAGCGGCAGTGGTGGAAGCGAGCAGTAACATGGCAGCAGTGATGAACGCTTGGGGGTGCACACACCAGGTCGGCCCCAGGCAGGATGGGACAGACCAATCCCAATAGGTGCCGGTACATGTCATGCATCGGGGGTTTCATCCGTAGGAGTAAGCAGTAGGCACAAACTCTGCAAGTGGTGGTGAGACTTCTTGGCGAGCACTTGCTGTATGGGGGGTGACATGAACACTGTTTTCGAGGATGATGGTTGGGATGAATGCATCAGGCTGTCAGGCTGGCTGGTTGGCGTTGTGAGTCCAAAGCGCCTTGGTCCACAAGCATACTGAGACTTAGGCTACTTTGACAAGGGGTTCGCGTCCATCTTGAGGCTTGCCGCAGTATTCACCAATCGTTAATTTAACACGCAGTAAGCGTCACATCTCAGAGTAATATCTGCCTGTGTAACCCGTGATAACAGGGTCTTCACCCGTAATTGTACGTGTAATTGGTTACATGTGCCCGTAATTCACCTGCAGCACCGCGTAATATCCACCCGTAATCACTGGGTATTCACCCATAATTGTGCGGGTAATCGGCTACATGCGCCCGTAATACACCTGCAGCACCGCGTAATATCCACCCGTAATCACTGGCTATTCACCTGTAATTGTGCACGTAATTGGTTACATGCACCCGTAATTCACCTGCAGCACCGTGTAATATCCACCCGTAATCACTGGGTCTTCACCCGTAATTGTGCGTGTAATTGGTTACATGCGCCCGTAATTCACCTGCAGCACCGCATAATATGCACCCGTAATCACTGGGTCTTCACCCGTAATTGTGCGCATAATTGGTTACATGCGCCCGTAATTCACCTGCAGCACCGCGTAATATCCACCCGTAATTCCGGGGTAGTCGCCTGTAAATGTTCACCCGTATCCTTGTGCTCAAATTACGGGACCAGTAACGTGTTACGGACCCATAATTTCTGTCAAATTACGGGTGGATTGACCCAAATTTACGGGTAAAATGACCCCCGTTTTCCCAGAGTGATGGGCAGATGCATCCTGCCGGCCAGTGGTGGTAATGAGGGAATCATGCTGCGCGGAAAAACAATTTTCCATCCTGAGGCAAGGGAAAAATTTATAATAAGACTTAAAACCGCTAGATAACGAGATATATGATTGGGTTTTTTGCCGAGAAAAATCAGCTCTAAATAACGGTATTTCTCCTCAGGAATTTACTGATAAAATGTCTGTAAATTTTAGAAATTTGTGGCCAAGCTAAGCATATCACAAAAATGATCATTCTTCGTTTTTCCGTCGGTTCCCGCTGCGGTAGCAGGCGGAGGCTCTCACTGAATGGTGTCGATAGTCGCACCTTGCCGCTGCCCAACGGCAACGGTGGATACATCCCGTCGGCCCGTATCAATAGAGAGGCTCTGGCTGAATGGTGCAGACAGTCGCACACTGTTGTTGCCTGATGGCAGCAATGGATGCAGCCCATCGGCTATCAGCGGTGGCGGCTGACCTCTGCTGCATGGTGGCAGCAGGCAGAGGGTTTCACTGAATGGCATTGACCGTCACACCCTGCCACTGCCCAACAGCAGAGGTGGATGTAGCCTGTCGGCCCACAGTGGTATCGACATGCTCCTGCAGCATGGCAGCAGCAGGCGGAGGCTCTCACTGAATGGCATGGACCGTCACACTCTGCCGCTGCTGTTGGGCAGCGGCAGGTGTATCCTGTCGGCCCCCAGTGGTGGTGACTGACTCTTGCTGCACAGCGGCATCAGGAGGAGGCTCTCACTGAATGGCGTCGATCATCACACCCTGCCGCTGCCCAATGGCAGCAGCGGATGCAGCCTGTCAGCCCGCGGCAGTATTGACAGGCTCCTGCTGCATGGCGGGAGCCGGCGGAAGCTGACACTGAATGGCGTTGACCGTCACACTGTGCAGGTGCCCAACGGCAGTGGCAGATGCATCCTGCCGGCCCGCAGTGGTGGTGGCTGACTCTTGCCACACAGTGTCAGCAGGTGGAGGCTCTCACTGAATGGCATCGACAGTCACACCCTGCCACTGCCCAACTGCAGTGGCAGATGTAGCCCGTCGGCCCACAGTGGTGGCGGCTGACTCTTGTTGTACGGTGGCAGCTGGTGGAGACTCCCACTGAATGGTGTCAACAGTCACATCCTGCTGCTGCCCAACGGCAGCAGCGGGTGTGGCCCATCACCCCACAGCGGTGGCAGCTGAGTCCTGCTGCACGGTGGGTACTGGTGGGGGCTCTCGCTGAATGATGTCGACAGTCACAACCTGCTGCTGCAGAGGTTCTTGCTGTAGAGTGGTATGTGTTGCCCCCTCCCTTTGCTGAGTGGCAGCGGCAGCAGCATATGAGCATCCCATGCGCACGGTTGTGGTTTTTTCGTCATTCAGTCCAGCAGCAGTCGTCGTGCTTTGTGCCTCAAGGTGTGCAACTGCTGATTTTTGGACCTGGTATGCTTCCGTCTCGAATGGTGTAACCAGGATGACGAAGTCCATCATCCCATTGACATGCCAGCGGCATGGCAGGTCATTTGGGAGGCGATACCCCGAGCGGTGGGAGATAATCCACTTATACAGTGCCGGCATGGGGCACTGGACTCTGTAGTGGAACCATGCAGAGACTCCTAAGATCTCATCTGGCAGCTGCAACTTGGAAAATTGTGCCCTAACCATGCTTTCCATCAGCCCCAGTGGCCAGCCGTGGGTCAGAATTTGCAGCGGTTATGGTATGACATAGTAGGGGCCCTCCCTGGCAACCCACCAGACCGGTGTGTGGCCGGTCACGGTGGTACACAGTTGACTGCGTGTGTCCAGGAGGTTGATAAGCTGGTGCTGTTGTTGCTGGGGAATGGCGGGGTCGTATGTTAAAGATAGCCCCACCGCGCAGTTGGATATATGCTCCCCGCCAGCTGTGCCTGGCATTTGCTGGCGGTGGACAATTGCCGAGTGCAGGAGAGGTAGGAGTGCTTGGTAGAGTGATGTCTGAAATGGCCAGGTATGGCCATCCAGTTCCACCCTAGATCCGTCTCTGATTATGGTAGTAAACGAGACCACCAAAAGGTTGGCTCTGAGGGCCGCTTGCTGCAGTTCTTGTGTGCAAGCCACCTCCAAAGCTGGGGCCTGCGGGGTCCGCGTGCTTGACGACGGGAAGATGTTGTCGCACTCATGGTGCGATCCCAGTAGCGTCAGCGCACGAGGTAGGGTTCCGCGAATCCCCGAAGAAGGATCTAAGAATTCCCTATGTTAAGGTAATTATAACGGCAACTCATTCAACTGGATTGAATGTCAGTTCCGATACCGGATCCCGCGTCGCGTTTTGGCAACGCGAGGCGGCATGGCGGCGCGCTAATGACGTTGTTACAACCAGAGACAAAGGGGGTGTTTCCACTTGGATTAAAAGTCACGGATTAGGGTGTTTTTAATCCGCGCCAATCCACCGCTAATCCGTCGGAGTGTTTCATACGCCTGGATTAAGGAACGGATTGAAGTACGACATCTGCCACTCCGTGCATAAAATGCAAAAACGAATATTGCGAAATATTTAAAAGACATCGAGTATCAACATGAAGGCCTTGCAGCACATTTGAACGACACCCACGGTGTGGTGCATAATGCCGAACAAGAAGCACAAAGCTTCCACAAAACTGGGAACACCTACAGCTTTAATAAAGGATAACCTTCTGACCTATCAATCAGGCTTTTTATGAGGCGTCGTCAAAAGTGTTAATCCGAGATTGTCAATTTGATACCTGGTGGCCATCAGGTAGCAAAATTTTCCCGCCAAGTTTGAGCTTTTAGTATAAGAAGAATGCGCGCGTTTCATAGCATTTTAATCTATAATTAATCGGCGAAGCGCGCGAATACAGGCGGAAATCTCTTAACTAATCGCGCCAACCTTAATCCGCCTAATCCGCCCTAATCCGCGCGATGTTTCCATATGCGACGGATTAAACCTTAATCCGCGAATTTTAATCCAAGTGGAAACACCCCCTAATGGAGTTGTTACCAGAGACGAAGCTTGTTTACCAGAGACTTACCGGAAGAAGCTTGCATAGAATGCCTTTTGCAGCAGCAATTATTCCTTCTGCAGATGAGTTGCTTCCTGCCGCCGAAACAAAATCAACAACAGAAAAGGTTACGTGAGGATCAGGTAGAACCCAATAATAATCTTATCCAGCCTGAAACAAATAAGAACAAAGAGCATGTAAAAGACATTGATACAGACATAAAAAAACAGTTTATTGAAAACGAGGATTGTTTAGTCGTCCCGATCCCAGCATTACGACAACAGATCAGGATCGACTGCGGCAAAGTTATATACTTATTGTGACTTCATTGTTCTCTCTCTTTGTGTAACGATATGAGCGAGTGATGTGTCCACTGAAGGACTCTTATCTCAACAAATTTGAATTACTGAGCTCTTTGGGGCTTGAAGGAATGCGCGACCGTTGACGTGACAAACGCGACTTTGCTCGGGTCGAGTTTCTTCACATTCGCCAGCCGTATCAAGTTACTGGTGTAAAAGATATAAAGTCTGTCCTGTTGGAATTGCGGGATGCGAGCTGGAGAAGAAGGTGGTTGGTCCGCTCCAGGAGGCTTCATGACTCAGCCGGGTGGCCCGCCAGGTTTGTTATAATTTTTGTTGTTCGAAGCAAGGGTATTTACCGACTGGTTCATAACGCATCTACAGGGCGCCAAAAGCTCGTGACGTTGACATCTCGAAGCTGCTCCTTTAGACGGTGACCCTTTTGGAGTGATAGCCTCAAGCTGAGGAAAGGTTAATATGATAACGGCGCAAAACAACCATGTCACATGTAAAGGCTTAAAATAAGGAAGCCTAAAGGTTTCAGAAGGGAAATCCATGGTAATGTCAAAAGGGCGAACCAACAAACGCAACAATTCTTTGGTCACTGTGGTAACGCGTTAGCTGCCGCTGACGTTTTCTGACAGAATTCATATACCAGCATTACATCCTGAATAGTTTGGCGCCAATACCCCCAATGGAAACTGGATCGTAAGTCCAACGGTATTAATCGACCCGGACGGAGCGCCTTGTCTGTACTTACGAAACTAATTTCTGAGAGGTAAAAAGGGTAGAATGAAACATATATGATTATTTGCGCTGACGTGTCTCTTGAAGGGCCTCAGTCATGTCGAAACCCTTTCCTAAAGTCTGCATATCCTGACCTTGAACCGCCACAGGTATCCCAGTTTTTACGACCTAATCATTTCCAAGAATGTTCAATTGGATATCTTGCTTTACTTGCGTGGATTCAGAGGAAGACGGACAACGGCGGAGCGCAAGTCCAGTTGAACTTCCGGCATTTAATGTCGTTCCTGCAATCCTGCCGGGAAAGGAAACCCGCAGACAAAATCAAGCGGCTGGAATCGACCTTAAATCTTCATTGGATTTAGCTATGAGTTACGGGAGCTCGCCGCAGGCCGTGCTTGTCCTCGCAGGTCACGTCCCGTTCGGCAATGGTGAAGCCGACCCCGCGCAACTCAGGCTGGACCCTGTTTACTGCAATCTGGAAGCTCTAAAATCGTTCCGTATTCCACAGACGGAATTACAGGACGGGACAGTAGTCGAGGGTGCGGGCGAGGTTTTAAGTACGTTAGCGCGCTCCGAGCCCGCCTTGCTGCAAGATGTGAGGGAACACCTCCTTCGATTTGCCTCGCACAAATATTCTGGCGCATTCACGCTCCTCTTATCCGCTCGCAAATACCCGCAAATCTCCGGCAACGCTTCCTCGTCCCCACCGCAATCCCAGCAGCGGAAACTTCAACATTACCACCACAGCCACAACCACAACCACCACAACCACAACCAGTATCCCGTAACGGATACTAATGCGCACGTTATCTCCGACTACAGCGGCTTCATCGCTTCCAACATTACCACCACAACAACAATAACCGGCCCGCAAACCACGGCCCTCAACACAGCGCCTGTTGCACCTGTACCTGTACCTGTTGCACGGCTCTGGCAACACGTCGTCGTCGAGCCCATCATGTACGAGTCGATCACTCCTGCAGGCGTGACTCATCAAGACGGCGCCAGCCGCATTCGGAAAGGGACATCTGCCGGCAACGCCGTGTCCAGTCGCAACCGAAGGCGCAGCGAGCTGTACCGGGTGGTGGGGACGCTGGGGCAGCAGCGGGTAACCACTCCGGCGTCCGCCAACAACACTCCGGGGTACGACAGTTGCGGCGGAGGTGGGACGAGCAGCCATGACGTCGCTGCCTCCAGGACGAACAGCCTGCATGGAGCTACCAGCCAGGGGGTGATCCGTCATGCCGTTGTCCTCAGCTTCGTGATGGGGCTCTCGCAACAATACCAGCAGCAAGAGCTGCAACAGCCGCATCGAGCAGCATCACCAAACATCGCCATCCCCACCGCCTCCGCGACCGCTACCGCTGTTGGCGCACACAATAACGGGGGGCATTGGTTGACGCCGCCGCTGCCGCCACAGCCAATGCAGCAGTCACACGCGTCCAGCCGGGAGTGCAGCACCCTGGTGGCATCCATGTTGTCAGGAAGTATGAAGAGACGCGGCCGCACGCGAACCCCATCAGGGTCTGGCCCCTGCGCCGTTGACCCTGGCGGCGGCGGCGACGGCGGCGGCCCTCTGGCGTTTGTCGCCGCAGATGACTCGCACCACCACCAACAACAACAACAACAACAGCAACAACACCTGGTACAGCGATCCGCAGTCCCTCGGCAGCGATTGCTCAAACCCACGTGGTCTGCTGTGCCAGAGTTATCCGAGAGCCGGTACGGCAGTGGCGGTGGTGGTGGTGGCGGTGATGGGGGTGGGGGGGATATTCTGCATAGGGCCCCGATGCAGGAAGTGGCGGAGGGCTTCAGGGCTCGCGAGAACATGGTCCTGGAGGGGCTCACGCCCATCTTGACGGCATTCACGCTGTGCGGCCGGGAAGTCCTCTACCAAAATGGAACGGTGGGTGAGAGAGGTCGGGTTCATGTGGGTGGGCGAACCGGTTAAAACCTTTTCGTACGGCAAGCGTGGCCGTTAGCCGTTGGCAAGCGCAATCTCCTTCGTTGTGGCCGCTTTGCCCCAACGGTTGCAGCCCCTAGTAGTCCTGCGCTACGATGCCACCGCAAGTGCGCTGCTAGGGCTGTCAATGCAAGGTGGAGATTATGTTGCTTTAGCTACGGTTGCATCTGCAGCCACAACTGCCACTGCAACGGCTGCCAATCCTACAGTTGCAACGACCTCCTACCACAACGACCGTGAAAACTGTTGTGCAACTTGTACACCCCATGGTGTTTCAACTGCTGAGGAAACCGCCAACTGCTGATGTGCTTGTTGCTGCGCAGAGCATCTTGTACTACGGCCTTCGGGCTCGAGCGCCGGCGGCGAATCAGGCAGCGGCCCCTGTCGCCCAGGAACAACCCGCCCGACTCCTAGTCAGCACCCTCGAGCGCACCGCACCTTCCTATGCCCAGTCGGATGCAGAGGCGGAGGGCGACGCTGCTGCCGCCGGTGGAGAAAGTGTTTGGGAAGAGCTCTTCCGTTTTGATCCAGTCAAGGTGACGAAACGGGGATATGCCTCGCAATCTTTAAGATGTTGGGGAGGTGGCAGGAATTGCTCCTGTTTCGCTGCCGGCTCGGCGGCGATGTACGTGCAGTGCTTTAGACGTCCGTTGCGCCACGGCCGACGTACTTTTCATTTCGCCTGATAAAACCTACTACCAAATTGCCGTTTTAGCAAAATTGGAAAAGATTTCGCTTTGCACCTTCCTTGGATTGATCCACAGCTCGAACGATTTCTGAACGACGTTTGCATCGAGGGGCGCGTCTGGAAAGGTGAGGTTCTAAGGGGCATCCGCAGGGGTACGTAATTGCAGATCTCGTGTTGATACAAGTCAACCTAGACTCCTCCCTACTACGGCTCCTTATGATGCCTCTCGTGCCTGCATCCCGCATCATATCGCTTTCGGCTCTTCATTCATACATTCATGCATACGTATGCATATACGTACGCGTGCGCACGCCATGTGGATATACATGGATATATTCGACCAATACTCACGTGGACACGAAAAGCACATGACATACATACACACATACACACACGGCTGAGCTCATTAAAACACGCACACCGCGACGTTTGCTTCTCGCTGCTCGCGGCTCGCAGCTTCATTGAATACACCCACGCCTGCGTGCGCCTGTCCACCTTTCGCCTGCCTCTCAACCAACATCGCCCCACCTTCCTGAACCCTGATCCGTGCCTACAACCCTACGTGAGCACCTCCTATGTTGATGCCAGGTATCGTCCAGGTTCCCCTGTCCTGCCACCCGGCCTTGTCGTACCGACCAGCTGCTGCAAATGCCACAGCTGCCACCGCCGCCAGTGGCTGCACTGCGAAATACAGCGGCGGCGGCGGCGACGGCGGCGGCGGCGGCGACGGCATTATAGCCCGCGTCATGCCGGCGGCTGCAAGCTGCGAGCTGCTCTCTGGACGGCCAACCACAACCACCGGCCAACCACAACCACCGCAACAACCTCAGCCCCCCATGGCTCTGCCGCCACTGCCGCCGCTACCTGAAGTTACGTTGTCCGCGTCACTGAGCGGGGACAGCCCGGTCGTTTGCCTGCTGCCGCATCTGGGCGCCGCTCTCAAACTGCCCCAGCAGCCGCCGGCAAAGACGCTGCCAGGGGCCGCGGCGGCTGCGGCGTCGCCAGAGCTCCCGGCCGCGGCGCTATCGCGGCTTCTGCTGGCACACTGCACGACCGTGGATCGTGCCGGCAGCGAAGACGTGTTGTCGAGCTTGGTGAGTATAGGGCAGCTGATCAGCACCACGACGGACGTGACGGCGCTGGAGGCTGTGGGGGCCTTACACCAGATGAGAAGTATTGTGCTGGAGCCGGAACCCCTGGTGAGCTTTCGCGATCATGAAATTATCATCATATTATCATCCTTATAAATAAGGCCTATTTAGGCAACCAGTCATCTAGTCAGCCACCAGGCAAGTAGTCATCGGGGCCCTTTTAAATGTGTGTATATGATGTGTGGAACAGGGGGCCATATTTTCACCCGTGGCAGCTACCCTGCGAAACCCTTCCTTCCGCGGTATTTCGGGGCACCCTCATTTAATCACCCTAGTCAAATTCAGAGAATCGCTTAGGTTTCGCACCTACCACCGGCATCTAACCGAATCTGCCGGATCGACGGCGACCCAACTCCATCAGCGAGACAACTTTTTCCCAGGTCACTACCCTCCATCGACTAGGGGCACTTTACCTTCCATCTTCGGAAGAATTTCTGACCCTGATAGGTCTCGATCCTGGATCTCCCGGGAGCAAATGTCTGTATGTATGTTGTTACAGGGTGGTTAACTTCGCCAGCGGCCCCCTTTCCCGGGGCAGTCCCTGCTCTCCCCTGCTAGAGGGGCACCCTAATCCGTCACCCCATCCGACTTCAGAATGTATTCGTTGGGTTCGGCAACTCACCACCAGCATCCAACCAAATCTAGCGGATCAACGGCGCATCAACTTAGTTCCTGGTCAGCTCGCAAGTTGATATTATCACGTCCTACACCGTCCATATGATGGGGGGCCACCTCCCATTTCATCACTCCTCAAACACCCGAGGAGCCGGCAGGCGGATTTGAACCCGGGTCGACTGGGTCGACTGGGAGCAGAAGTCAGGCCTTAACCTCTGCCAGCCGCCTGCCATATGTCTGTATGTCTGTCTGATTTGATATACACCTGCGCTGACTACACTGATGTGCACTGACCGGCCCCGAACCCCCAACGACCCCAAAGGTGAAGGCCAAGGGCATCATGAACACCTGGGGCATCGGTGTGTGCTTTACCAGTAGTGCCTACCTATTACATATGTGTGTATACAAGTGTATATCTGTGCGCCTAAGGACGGCATGCTAATATTGCCTTGCTTGCGATTGCGTGCTCAGGAGGGCCCAGAAGGGCTCAGAAGTGGGTACACGTACAAATATAATATTATATATATATACCTCCTTCCCTACCATATCTTACAGGCCACGTCGACATGGGGGCTTTTCCTGGACCACAAAGAACAAGGACGGCAGCCCGAGGACGTGCTGATGCGAGGCGAGGGAGGTGCCTCCGATGCAATCACAAACTCCTGCAACAGCGGCGGCACCTCCGCCGCCGGCACTGTCGCTGCCACACCCACGGCCGGAAAGGTGCCGCCAAGCCGCCGTACACTTAGGCGATTGGGAGTCTCCAATAGCAGTCGAGAACTCAAGCGGGGTCTGCCGGACTGTGTCGCCGTCAGCCCTGGCCAGGCCTCGAACTCCGTATTTCATTCGGTCCACGATCTCCTTGTCGGGGAGGCTGCCTCCCCCTGCGGCAGAAGCCCACAGCAACAACCGCAGCCGCCGCAGTCGTCACTGACACGCAAGATTATCGGCGCTGCGTTCCGCCGCAATTCAGATTTGGCGCTTCGGTATGACAGAGTGTCGTCAAGCAGCACGACGCGTAACGACACGACCCCACTCGGCTACCATGGTGGCGGCGCCGGCGCCGCCGGCGCCGCTGCAGCGGCTGCGGCGGAAGGCCTGGTCAGCCGTACGTTATCCGCGGTGGTGCATCACGGATATCAGCGGCAGGCAGCCACAGCAACCGGCTCTGCGACCCCGCCGCGCCGCTGCTATAGCCGTGTGGAGCTCGAAGCCCACAACAGCGCTGCTGGCCTCGGCCCGAGCCGCGTGCTTACCTTTGCCAGCACGCTGCGCAACACGCCCAGTGCCGTGCAACGGACGCTTCAGGCGGCCATTTCGGGAGGCAGTGTGGCGGCCGGTGTGACGTCACAAGCGCCTTCGTTAATAGTTCCGGACACCCCATCAGCGGCATCGTCGCACGGCAACATAAATGGCTGGCTGTCGTCAACACAAACGATGGCAGGCGGCTCCGTACGACCATCCCGGGGCGGCAGTAATGGCAACGCTGCGATATCCTCCCAGCAGCAGCATCCGATCGTAAGGCAGTCCGCACGTGTATTCTCAGGTTGTCAGACGACCAAAAGCGATAGACAAGCGTCAGTGGTGGCGATCGCAGATACAGGGAGCTGGGGATTGAGTTGCGGTGGTGGAGGCGGTGGAGGCGGAGGTGGAGGGCGGCGGCTGCTGGCGGAGGTGGAGTGCGGGTACGCGAGTCAGGCGGGCATCGAGGAGCTTCTTTTGTCAACGCAGAAAGCGGTTCGGGCCCGCCCGCGCACAGCGCCGCAGAGGGCCTTGAATGACCCCTCTGGGCGGCCGACGGCAGCTGGCGGTGACGGCGAGCAGCACAGGAAGCTGGGCGCCCCTGTCGCACCAGCAGTAGTTACAGCTCAGGGACGCAACGCCAGCATATTGGTACGGCAGGGGGTTGACAATGGAATAGAGGAGCTGCTGCGCGCGGAGGAGGACTGCGAAGTTGGCAGTGCTAGTTTCAACAGGCAAGAGGAGGGTAACTTCCATGACGGCGACGCTGCAGAGACTTGTGATGACGATGATGTACGGCAACTTGTTATGTTGGAAAAGTGCACTTCCCCGGGAAATGTTGATGCGGACGTTTGTCCGGGGGAGCTAATGGTGCCGCCGCTGGTGCCGCCGCTGGTGCCGCCGCTGGTGCCGCCGCTGGTGCCGCCGCTGGTGGCCCCTGCCGCGGCGGCAGCAACGATGGCGACGACAGCTGCCGGCACCTGCTGGCATGAGATCTCGGCGAGTCGTGTCACAGATCCCGTGACGGGCCAGTATGCCATCGTCATGACGCAGGTGCGGTGCGGCGCCCATGTAAGCGAGCCACGTCGATGCCATGTTCCTGGGCACCTGGCCACCTGGTCCACCTGCCGGATTCCCTAGGTGGTCGTCCGTTTTCCGAATCACACGCCGTCCGTCCCGTAGCGTTTCTCACCATCTCTCCACCGCAGACACACATACATGCAAAGACCGGCCGCGGGTGTTCATGTCCGCATCCGGGTATTCCCTCTCTCGCTCTTTGCAGCTCCTCGTACGACCTCCCCCCGCAACGAACCTCGCAGACCGATGTAACCGCCAAAGTGGAAGCGGAGCGCCATATCGCCTTTGTGACGGAGGCAGAGCACCGACTGCTGGAACAGGTATGGAATTGTACGATGCCGTACAGCAGCAACAAGCGTGGTACGGCATGCCGCTACCGTAGCAGCTAAGAGAGTTCCAGAGGTGAATTTGTTAACTTGCCCGTTGGTTGCCCTGTTTCTGTACGGCACCTTTCCTTTTGCAGATCTTCCCTCGTCACGTGCTGACCTACATGACCGAAGAGGGGGGTCCCTGGGGCGCCCCCATGGATCCGGACCCTACCCGCTGGCGACCCATGGTTCGCGACATAAACAAACTGGCCATCTCACATGATGAGGTGAGCGCCATCTACTGCCGTTAGGGCGCCATCTACTCGCCATTACGGTCGAACTGGCAGCAGGCCAAGATATAAAAGCAGTGCTGGCGGACTGGCCAGAAGCCGGATAGGGCCCAAGGCGGCGGTCCGCGGGGGCAGGCAGCCAGCAGGCAGGACAAGTGCTGCTTATTAAAGGTGTCCTGATTAGAAAGATTGACTTTCATGGCGTGTCGGTGCCATTTGCTGCTTCTGCAGGTGACGCTGCTTTTCGCAGACATACAAGGTTCGTTGCCGGTTTTGTTTCGAGAGTGGGCGGAATTCGAAAGGGTGAAACAAGCAGCAGTCAGCACGGAGTAGAGCAGCCAAGTAAATTCATTGAACCAATGCCCAGTTTCCAGATGGGCAAGTACGACCTCGTGCTTGCCGTACAACGTGCGGCCAGCCGTGCCATCTGCTGCGCAATGATCCTCGGCCAACGCAACCCCACGTCACCCAGTTCTCCCCTTTCTTACCCCTGATGGGGACGACCGTCTACCCCCTGAAGACGCACACGGATGCACACGCATGCACACGCACACCAACACACCCGTACACGCCTCCCACGATGTTCATTTTTAGCATTTTTAAATGCATTTGCATGTATCATCATCTATGTATCATCACTGGCGAAACCTTGCCTGCAGGCTTCACACCCATGTGCAACGTGTTGGAGCCTCGGGTGGTGATGGCCTTCCTCAACGACCTGTTCACACGCTTCGACAGCCGGCTGGACGAGTTTGGGGTCTACAAGGTGGGGTGGTTACGGTGGTGAGGTGGACCATAATGGTGGTAGATACGTTGGTTCAACCCCGGATTGATGGAAGCTTTGGAAGGTGCGCCATGGCACGTGGGCTCACATGTCAATGTTTGGAAAACGAATGCTAAACAATTAAGCAACTTGGTTGCTTGTTTACTTGTGACCTGTAATGTCACATACTAAGTGCAGCGCCCCTATGCTCCTAACGCTCGCACTGGCCGCACAGGTTGAGACCATCGGCGACTGTTATTTCGTGGCGGGCGGGCTGATCCACCAGGACGAGTACGGCATGCCCGCCGTACGCGCGAGAGACAGCCACGCCGACCCGGACCATGCAGGAAGGGTTATGAATTTTGCCAAGGTTCGTCCGTATGGCATGACGCGACGATGTGCTACGGCTCTTTCGTACGGCAAGATGCATGCATTTCTGCAGCTCTACTTATCCCATCTTCCGGTGCTTCCCGTAATGCAGTGTGCCGTATCCGATACACAACGTGGTGTGCATAATGTTGGATTCATGGGTACTTGGGCACGCCGGTGCAAAGAGCTCCGCGCGACTGAATTACGAATGAAGTCGAAGGGGTTGACATGCACAGCGGCACTCAACATGTGCACAACTCAATTCCTGGGTATCACGGATTCTGACATCCCTCTCGGGGTCTGATAACCGCCAAATCGTTCTTTTCTGACAAAGACGTGATACAACAAATTGGTATGATATATGGTATCCCAGTTCTGAATCGGGTACGATTCTCGGACAGAGCGGAATGTTGCCGTAATAGTCTGAATGCCGACATCTCCCGATACTTTCAGATAGGCAAACGGTCGAGGACGCCCCAACGGTGAGGGAGGATAATTGTAAAATCGTGGTATCACTGCCTCAAACCCAACTTGGACCCAAATTCCCAATATCCTAACCAACATCCTAACCAACAGCCTAACCACAGAACCCGTACACACGCACACAGGCCATGATTTCCGCGGCGGACCAGGTGCTGCTGCCCACCACGGGGACCCCTGTCCAGATGCGCATCGGCATTCACAGCGGCCCGGTGGTCAGCGGAGTGGTCGGACAGCGCATGCCCAGGTTCTGCCTGTTCGGTGCGTGAGGGCGAGGGCCTCAGCGAGGGACCAACTCTTGCCGCATGATCGACGGAGGGGAAGCATTGCGTTTAGGGACCATGTGGATGTGCCGCGGGTAGCAAGAGCGACATGCATCTGCCGTACCATGCCGTGCGATGCGAGAGGGCCTCATGCATCTGTTGTTGGAGTCTTGTTAGCTGGTGCGGGGAGTAGGGCCCTGGACGTCTCTTTTAAGGGTTAGCGGCGGTCTGTCAGCACACCAATCGCTGTAGGTAGGTAGGTAGATAGGTAGGAAGTTAAATAGACAAAAATGTAGGTACGTCTCCCACTTTACTCTGCCTGTGCCTACTTACCTATCTCCCTGTTTGCCTGCCTGTGCATGGCTACCCTCTTACCTACCTACCTGGTACACATCTGCATGCGACACAGGCGACACAGTGAATACGTGAGCTCGTGGGGGGTTGACTTGCGGTGCACGTGGTGGTATGCCGTATGGGGGTTGTTGGGTGCGGGAAGTGAAAGGGAAGATCACTTACCGGGCTGAAAGGGTTGGGATGGGGTCCCGAACGGAGCTAAGGGTGGTTAGAAAGGTGTCTGCGAAATGCCCTTTTGTATAGATCGCATGGCCCCCCCCGGGGGCTTTAGGGCGTTATCCACGTCCTCACATCAATCAAGGATTGATAAGTTAACTTAGGTATTGAACTCCTGACAGGGCCCGAGCCGAGCGTTTCCGTACTAGGCGACGTTCTTCCGTATCTTGTATCCGTACTTGCTTACCCGCCGCAGCAGCGCTTGCGTTGGGAAAGGTGTTTACGTGGGCGGGTGTTCGCCGGCATCATTGTGATACACGTGTACTTCAGTCTAGAATTTGGTGGTCTGGGCGAGAGAGGTCTGGGTGAGAGAGGGGCCGATACTGCTCCCGCGCGCTCGCGTCTCTGCCTCGCCACCACGCCCATGAAGCTTATGAAGCGGGAGGCTATTCGTGTTGCTTGTCCTCTAGTCCTCTACGTGAAACATTTCCTATGGGTCGTCCTGGCGGCGCGTGTCTGGTCATTCCGTCACCTGACTGCCTGTCAGGCTGTCTCGAGTGCCTGCGTGGCCACCTGCCTACCCTCCTACCTTGCCCCCTGCCCTCCCACCGCGTTACAGCACCTCCCGCATGGAGAGCACGGGTGTGCCGGGGGCCATACACGCCTCAGAGGCGGCTTGGAGGCTGCTAAGAAACGAATGCTGGGTTCCCACAGGCGGCGTTGAGGTGAGAATGGATTTAAAAGGGGCGGAGGTCGAGGGAGGGAGGGCGGGACGGCGGGTAGGACGAATGCATCTGCACGACCACTCCTCGCACCACATCCCCGCGCTCACCTTCGCCAGCTCCCGTCTACAAGCCTAGGTGCCAACCTGCCTGTCTGCGGAGTGGGTGGGTGGGGGAGTGGGGCTGGAGTGCAATTAAACCGCGGTTCGTAAAGGATATCGACCTGGAGGGCATGACTCAGTGCAACATGAATACCTAAATACAGCACGTGGAGCATGTGGAGTGCCCAGCATACATAGCACATGCAGGGGTTTTCTGTCGGGTTTCAGGTGCATCAAACTATGAAGGATGCATGTGTGCATGGTATATGTATATATGGATTAATGTTGTGCGTGTAGCTGCCTATCACTGCGAGCCACACAGGTTGCCCTGTATGTCTGTCTGATTTGACATACACCTACCCTGACTGCACTGATGTGTCCTGACCGGCCCCGAACCCCCAACGTTCTCAACCCCCAACGACCCCAAAGGTGAAGGGCAAGGGCATCATGAACACCTATCTGTGGAAGCCCCAAGTGGGTTCTGATACCCCAAACCAAACAGCAACGCCATCAGGGGTGACAGCAGCCCATAAGCAGCCGCAGCCGCAGCCAGCCATTGTTGGCCTACCGCTGCCTGCTGATGCATATAGCCGTTAGCGGGCGGCTTGCAGCGCCGGGGACGCTGGCTGCGCAGGTGGCAGTATTTACCACACCGGGACTGCTACCCGCAATCCCTTCAGGACCTTAGGGCGCCAGCGGAAAGCAGCAGCAGCAGTGCACCAGTAGCGGTGGCGGTGGCAATGGTGGCGTTGTGTTGTATTACGTCTTTTTCAGAAAAGAACCGATCGGCGGATGCCAGATCCCGTGATACCCAGGATACTACACGTTGACTGTGACGGCGACGGCGACGGCAAATTTGGCAGCAACAAATGGATGGGTTCAGCAGCGGCTATGGCTGCGGATGCGGCGACGGTAGCTGGCTTTTCTGTTGCGGGAAAGCAGGTGAACAGCGCCGGCGGTTTCGCGGACGTGTCAGACGCGGCCGGCGGTGCCAGAGACGTGGGTGCGGAGGATAGCGTCCAAAATCTGGTCAGAATACTCCTGAAGGATCAGCACTGATGTCTGCTTCGGCCACGTGCGCAGAAAACTGCATGGACGGGTTTATGGATTCACGGATTTGTGAAGGCGCTTCTGGGATTTACTATGCCCCATGCAATCCCTTAGCATTCAGGGGGGTGCGTGCTCTGGCGTGCACGACAGGGTTCTTCACCCCGATTGGGGCCCGAACATTTTTGAGATTTTTCCGTTATATTTTTCCGTTACATATAACGGAAAAATATGACGTAAAATTATATATATAATATATTTATTTATATATACGTTTTGCTTGAAAGGAAAATTAGTGCGCCCCGGAGCATCCCGAACGGATTTGGGGCCTTTTGAAGCATTTCTTCGGGGGCCCCACCGAAGCTTCCCGAAGGCATTTTCGAAGAAAACCGAATGATATTTAAGCGTACATTTGCATGTTTTCGGGCGCGGAAGGGGCCTGGAAACCGAGCTTGCAGTATAAGGCCCGCTTGGTCACCAGTCAAACAACAAGCATTGCGGCTGTATCGCACACATTCTCACATCTAAGCATATCCATATGCCACATTTTCATACATCTAAGCATATCCATAATTAAACATGCCCAAGTCCCAACCAAGGTGACCCGCATCTCCCTCGGGATTTGCAGCTTCTTTAAGGCATTGCACGAGCGGGGATGCTGCATGTGTGCATTTGCGACGGGCGACATGTTGTGGACGATTGTATGATTGTGCGGCGATGTCATACCCAACACGGTGGCGAAGGCAAGCCGTGGGGCAACCCGCGAGGGACTCGGCTCTGTCAGGGGAGAGACAGCGAGGAGGACCAGCACCCCGCGCGGCGGGTGCAACTAGGAGACAAATAACGCGACAACTTTTCGTGGCTTGGTGATGGTGATGATGACAGAGCGTCGGTGCCTCACATGCTGAGTTGTTCCGAGGACGAAGCAGGATTAAGTCCCGAAACCTTGCGTGCTGCGTGGTCGAGTGTGCGGCGGCAGCAACCCGGGGGTGCTAAGGGACATATATACGTATATACGTACATACAGACCGGGGCCAAATCGCTCCTCAGTTACACACCCCCTTAATACACGAAAGGCTACGGCCAGCGTTTCTCAACATTATTATTATTATCTGATATCACAAAGCGGCAGCAGCAGCAGCAGCAGTCTTTAAGCAGATATCTATTTATATCTATTTATCGGGGGAGGATGTGATGCTTGCCGGCGATCTAAATGCCCGTCTATCCAGTGCACAGCATACAAAGCACCGGTCCTCGCCTGCTGACCTGCCCGGGTACGTTAGTGATGTTCCAGATTTACATCAGCTGACGGCACTGCAGGAGTTCATGGGGTTGCCGGGTGACGCAGAACCTCAGGGCTATGCAGACGTGCCTGGACGTAGGAGTGAAGACCTCGTCTGCAATTTTGCTGGGCACCAGTTGGGTGCCCTGTGCCGGTCGCAGGGACTGCTGGTATTTAAATGGCCGAATGTCTCCGGGGGTCTGGAGGGTCGTCTGACCTTCCCCAAGGGTGAAGCAGGTGGGAGCATGATCGAGGTTTTTGTTGGTTCGGCAGGTGTTCTCCGTCGTGGCTTTTGGATGTGAGTGGGTGAGCTGCTCGCGCAAGATGGTTGCTTCCCGACTGACCACCGTCCAGTGACGCTAGTTCTTGATCTAGTTGTGGGTGGAACCGAGGTGAGTGCCACAGGGTGCTGCCAACAGAAGCGAGCAATGTTTGAGATTTCCCGTTACAGTGACTATGCTGCTCTGTTTACTGAGGGATCTGGGGTCCTGCAATGGGCCCCATTGAATGGGGTGATCACGGACCTATTGAATGGGTTTCCCCCCCTCCACCACACACACGCACACACGCACGCACACACACGCACACACACGCACACACACGCACACACACGCACACACACACGCACACACACCTGGGTAGCCGCCGTACAGTTCGCACCCTCCCCTGTCGCGATTAGGGTATCTCGTATGGTAAATATGTGCAATGAACCAACATTTGGTTATGAGTTACAAGAGTTACAACTTGCTTACTTATTACTTGTTATGCCGCCAGTTATGCCGCCAGTTATGCCGCCAAAGCGGCTATTGGTAGACCCGGGGCTCCTGTTTGCCAAATGCTATCCCTTTGTCAAGTAGTCTCGGCGGGATTGCTGTAGTCGAGTTTGTAACGATGCTGTTTATGCTGCTGTTCCTTAAGTATGAAGATGATTGAATGTTGCTGCAGCATCCCGCTCGAAATTGGACATGTTATGTTATCTTCATTGGTGTTTTTGGCTCCAGGTGCTTCAACTGAGCTGAGTGTTCGGTTGGGCACCGTTTTGTCTGTATGTCTTTCGTGTGATTAAAGCTCAAGATGCTTACGTGGGCTGTGGGAGTATGTGTCCGTTACCGGTAGGGAAGAGGCCGGGTGTAAAGAGGCCCTTCACTGGTTTGTGGAAACCGTTGTTAAGGTACTAGACCGTTGGCACCCTGCACATGCAGTACCACTACTACGTAACCTAGCCCTCAAACGACCACGGTATCTTGCCGGTTTTCCTGTCACCCGTTTGCATCCATCCGTGAAGACAGCACAGGGTTTAGGGTTTTAGGGTTTTCTCGCGTTTGATTCTTGGTGGATCTCAGCCATTGATTGTGACAGCAACCCCACTCCTTACAGTCTCCAGCTACCAAACAATGTCCCGGATTTGCGGCATTTGGGCACCCCCGTGCAGTGGGTGGGAATGCTAGGCCGCGGGCTACAGCAGTGTCGGCTGCCATAGCTGCCAGATTAGGCCATGTTCTGCATGGTTCTCTACTACCCCTGTGTAGGCCTCTCCGCATCTTATTGTCGTGGCTACGAAAACCCAGCAGAAGCCCACGAGATGAGATGCATCCAGGCACGCTACCCACGCACACACACATTCCCCCCCACTGGACCCTCCAATCAGAGACCAAAAGCGGATCACAATATTCAACATAAATTGCCGCCGCCATTGCTGCCGCAATATCAGCAACACTGGCAACAGCGGCACGTAGCCATAACAGAGGTCACTGCCAGGCAAATGCGCCTCCTTTCCGCCTCCAGCGAACTAGTTGCGAGAGGTTAGGGCGTTGGCCCACTGAACACAGTTCCATGCAACCCAAACACCTACAGACTGCCCACCATAGAACTGATCAGCTCAAGACAGCACCGACCTGAGCTGTAACACTGCTTTACTGGACATAACACTGTCTCTCCGTTACGTCTGCCTAGTTGCTTGTCGGCCACAAACAGCCGACAATGAAGCGTTTTGTTTGGCTACTATATATCGCAGATAGCAGCGGCAGAAAGGAACGACACCACTCCACAATGCCCTCCACCCCGTGTGGCCGTGCGGTCGCTCACTGTGCCCCCCATCGGCCTTCCCCTTGTCCTTCCACACCGTACCGTTGTACAGCCAGGCGCATACCGTTTCAAGGCGAAGCAAAATACATCGCACACGGATATCATGTTGGGGAACATTTGCTACTGGCTGGAACGGTCAGCACATGTGCAATGGGAATGACATAACGCAGTTACCATTGCCAAATGCCACCACCTACGACAACACGACCCACAGGCTGTGTGCGGATCCTTCACTGTTGTCGTGCACGTGTACAGTCACCGAGCGCTGCATCAGGGTTCTGGTCCGATCGTTAACTCTTCGGTCTTGGGGTTTGCTACCTGCCCGAGTGCTCCTTCACTTCATCGCGCCGCTGAGGGACGGCCCCATACACACAACATCATACCGTCAACACAACTCTATCAATCTGAATCCCCCGGCCTCAATCCTCCAATAGCTCGCGTCAACCCCAACCCCGACCCCCCACCACTGGCCAAACCCACCACTTCATACTACCACTCTCAACCTCCACTCCCACCACCAATACCGAAGCCAGACGCGCCAACGTTATCATGTACCGTAGTGTTTCGTTGCATTTCCTTCCTGGGTACCGCCATCTGCACGGCACGGCAGTGCTACGCATGGTGGGACACCACCACCATAACCCACTTCCCCCACCCTTCGCAGGGAAGCTGTGGAGCACCTTGGGAACGCCGCGGTGGTCAGAGACGGACGGAAAGCAGCTCCACAACAGCCGGAAACGTTCCTCCTCCGCCTCTTGTTTCCCTCCTCCCCCTCCTGGATACTGGGGTTGTGGCTCCGGAGCTCTCACGCAAACGCAGAGTCGTTAATCTGTTGTGATGTAGGACGGGCGGAGCGCAGCAGATGATGCCACAGCGACATCATATTCGTCAGCAGCAGCAGCTATCGCGGGAAGCCGTAAGTCGATAAACGCCATACACATCAGGGCATTTGGACTGCCCAGCAAATAGCACCTGCCCCTCTCCCCCTTCAAACAGCCCACCCCAACGGCCCACTCCCCCAACCTGCCCATAAAACCCCTCCACACTGCCATAGCCCCCATAACCCTCCTCCTAACTCGCACACGCACCTGCAGGTGCAGCACCGGCTGCCCCAGCTGGTCTCGCTCCACCGTCCATAGCGCAATACGGGCGTATTCGGTGACACATTCCTCAATGTCGTCACGCTGCGAGTGGGAGGTGGGAGTGAGGCAGCGAGAGGAGGAGAAACAGGACGATGCAACAGATGCCTCAGGAGTGCATATCTATAAGCCGAGCACAGCACCCGAAAGAGAGATTGTGGAGGAGCACACTACCTCCAGTCCAAATACCAGACGAAGGCAACACAGGACCACCTTCCCTGCCTGGGGCTATGCCTCCTCTTTCCTGACCCGCTCCCTGAGGGGGCCCCGCCCCGCCCCACACATTCCTTGTCTGTCTCCCCCCCCCACACACACACACCACCGCTAGGCACTTGCAGCGACCCCAACCGCAACAACAACGGCCATGGTGACGCACCGACACGTTGTGCCGTTGCGTCAGCTCCTGGATCTTGGCGTACGGTACCTCCAACTCGCCCGTGCGGCTGCTGTACTCTCGGATCAGCCGGTACACCAAGCTAACGGCGTCCTCGTAGGCGCCGTCCCCAGCGGCCCCCCCGGTTCCGGAGCTTTCTAGGGAGGCCTTGCTCTGCCGCATCAGCCGGAGAGCCTCATCCACGTCCCCCTGTGATGCGCGATTTGGTGAGGTGAAATGAGGTGAAGGTGGTCGTCGCGGCTAAGAACGTATCGATTGAAAAAGGCTGAAAGGGAGGCCGAAGCAATGCGCGCATGCAGGGGATGGTCAAAGGCGGTGCGAGGCCAAGACACGAAGAAGAGGGGAACGGAGAACGCGGAGACCCGCAACCGCCCGCCAGCGTGAAGCGGCTTTCCGAGCGAGAGAGCTATAGTGCAAGATGACAACACCCTGGGCGGTAAGAAGCATCCTGGCAACAGCCAGCATGACGGTATATCCTGAGAAGCTGAGGAAAGCAAAACTGCATACAAGGATTGGAAGCACGGCATGCGCACATTCAAGCTGTTGCCTCAGCTAACTCATCTTCCCCTGAACCTTTATTTTCTCGTCGACATCCCCACGCTACCCTACCCCTCGCACCACCGCCTCTTTTCCCAGTTGCGCCATCTCCTCACGCACCCACCGTCAATATTCCCTCTACTCCCTCCTTACACACTCCTTCCATTTACATACATACAGACACACACCTGGCCTACGAGGTTGCTAAATCGCAGCTTGGCGAGCGCCTGGCTGAGCCGGAGTATGGACAGCAGCGTACGGGGGGTGGTGTAGGTGGCGGCGGCACCCAGCGCGGCCTTCTCCATCTGCCGCAGCTCCGCGTAGAAGGACGCAATGTACTCTGCACCACGCGCGCCGGGACGTACGTCATCACGGGCGAGAGAGCAAGGCGGGAAGGAGCCTGTGCAAGGCAACCTTCCGGCCGACTACCGAACTTTACCACACCAACTGGCGACCCCTGCGACTGTGGATGCACGCGACATACGGCTCTGATCTGACTCCTCCTCCGGGTCGAAAGGACAGAGCCAGAGAGGAAAGCAGCAGCCGCTTTTCCAAAAACGGCTAGCTCCACCCATCTACACAATCTACGAAACTACGAACCCAGCAGTCCACCCGCACAGCCACACACCCACCGGTAAGCTGTTCCGGCACGTCCGGCTCGTACTGCCTCGCCTGACCGATGTATGCTCGCAGCAGCCGCAACGGGATGGGGGCCGCGGCGGGATCTGCCTGGGCGTCCACCTCCGCAGTGGGGACGCTACAGCCAGACAAAGGGACAACCAAAACGCACGTTCGCACACTCACTCGCGCAGATCGTATGCGGCGCAGGTGCATCATCGGATTAAATGGCGCCGGTGTGGCCAAGCAGCAGCAGCAGCAGATGCAGCAGCAGCAGCAGATGCAGCAGCAGCAGCAGCAGCAGCAGCAGCAGCAGAAGTTGAGCAATCCGAATCAAGGAGACTTATGGGGATAAAGTCCACATGAACCCGTATAGCCTGCTCGTGAGCTTTCATTTCCCCCCTCCTCTCTCCCACCACCAGAGCAATGCCCCCACATCCACAACTCACCGACCCAGCACGTGCAGCCTGACTATGTGGTTCGCAAGCCGGGTGTCCTGCTCCTTGCTGCTCTCATCCAGCAGCAGCCAAAGCAGGTCGAAACGGGATAGCAAAGCCTGGTAGTAAGAGAGAAAGAGAGGAGGAAGGTGGCCGGTTAAGGGGGGCAATGTGGTATGATGTGATGGGGGGGAAAAACAGCAGTTGTGAGAAAATTACTGTGCGGGTCGAGGTGCCCACGCCTTGACTGGTATACCGGTGAATAGATTGGTGCCCTAGCGGGCTCCGAGGGTAAGTCGGGAACTCGCCAACAACAGCGCAACAGGCTCTAATCAGTTCGCCGACATCGAGTGACTTGCGTAGGTCCAACAAGCAAACATCTTATCCCACAATCCCATTTATTTCCCTTTCTCTCCCCCCCCAAACCTATTCAAAAGCCCTCAGCAGCTAAGAGCGCCCTGGCATTCATTCCCCCCCACACACAGACAGAGATACAAGTACTCACCGCGGGCAGGTTGATGTTTTCCGAAGGCGAACGGCGCCTGTCGTACCTGCCGTACGCCGGGTTGGCGGCGGCTAGGATGGTCGTGCGCGTGTTGAGGGTAGTGGTGATGCCCGCCTTGGCGATGGAGACCGTCTGCTGCTCCATCACCTGCCGGTTCGTTTTGTGGGGCACACCAACAACACGGGAAGTTGAGATGTGGGCGGCGGCGGAGACGTAAGGGACATATTAGCGGAGGAGAACCAGGAAAAGACCAAAGCGAGGAAGGTGTGGAGATGTTCCAGGATTTGGAAAAGTTTATCATTGGGGTCTCCGCGCGCCCCCAGCACATGCACTCATCCACCGGACAGTTTACTCGGAGGAATTCCCTACCTAATTCACCCGCCTTACCCCACCCACCCACCGCCCACCCGTACCCACTTCGTGAATTGCTGTTCGGTCTCCCTCCTCCATCTTGTCAAACTCATCAATGCAGCACACGCCCTTATCCGCCAGCACCAGAGCACCGCCCTCAAGAACCAGCTCCTTGGTAACCTGCGGGGATAAATACACAGACAGACAGACAGACAGACCGTTGACCCTGTAATGTGCATATGGACACCGTGAAAACGCTGGAAATCCAGTGCCGAATTCCGAAACCATCCGGCAAACTCGCTATCAATCAGCAGTAACATCAGCGCCACATGGTAATATGGCGCAAACACGTAGCACCAACGATAGCGGGAATTGATCATCAAAAGGGCGATGAAGCCACATGGCCCGGCAAAGGATCTGGGCCACATGCTAAACCCGTCTTCCTTCCAGCAGTCCTGAAAATGGCGCCGTAACGACTGGAGGCGAAATAGCGCACCATGGAGTTATGGAAGGCCAGAATTGGATGACACTCTTCGGGTTCCCCAAAGGGGATGACAACCCTTGGGCTGTCGTCCCTTTTTTGGTTGTCCCCTTTGGGGACCACTTTCTTATGGACCCATTTCACGTGTTAGGTGCTGCTGGTGTATTCGGATGGTTCATTATCCTTAAGTTTGCGGATACTCCTGGGGCCCGCAAACCGCAGGGGATTCCGTAGAAGATAAACCTTTGGTCATCCCCAAAAGAATTCCGAATACACCCCGCCTCTCACGCAAACATTTCATTCATAATACTATATAATAAGATTTTCACACATACCTGGTTTCGGAGCACTGCCGCCGTGAGACCCACGCCCGAGGAGCCCTTGCCCGTCGTGTACACAGCCCGCGGCATGACTCGACTGACGTACTTGAGCAGCTGCGACTTGGCCACACCGGGATCACCCATCAAGCACACGTGCACGTCGCCACGCAGCTTGAGGCCGTCCGGGAAGACCCGAGTTTGGCCGCCCACCATCATCAGCAACAACGCCTGTAAGGCAAGGCAGGACAAGGAACGCAAGTGTCAAAGCAGTATCAGACAGGGCCAGCCCAACAGGTAGCATGTGCCGGGTAGGTGAAAAGGTGTGTAACACAGCTGAAGAGGCCAAAAGGCACGGTGGGGGAAGGGGGGAAGGGGCCGTTGTTGTAGGCTTTGTAGGGTTGCGGCGGTATCAGCTCACATGCACACAAAAGAACCAACAGCAAAAATAGAGTCTCTTCGGATTGGAAGTCCGCACCACACATGTGGCTCCAAACGCAGCTTGAGCAGCTTGACCTTGTCTCTCCGCGAACAGATGGACCGCAAGACGGTTGGCGCTGAACCAGCAGTACGATCTAGCCATCGCACAAAACCCTCTGTGTGACCCCCCATGGGCCCCGGGACTCCCCCCTACACTCCCCGCTGCCGTGCCACCAACCTTCTTGACGTCCTCCATCCCGAAAATCTCCGGCGCGATCGACCGTGCCAGTCTGCCGTACACGTCGCCTCCCTCCCCAAGCGCCTCGATAGCGGCCACCTCCGCTTCGCTCAGCTCAAAGGCACTGCCGTACTGCCGCTTGGACTGGACGACATTGTGCGCCTCCAGATACGTGCTCATCAGCAGACCAGCCCTGAGCGGAGACATTACGACAGTTGTGAAAAGGGTACGACAGGTCACACCATGTGGTCACACCAGGGGTGTTGTAAAAGGACGGAGAGGCTGACGAATGAAGGCGACACCGCAACCGCGGTGAGGACTTCCGCGACGGATGAAGGATAAAGATGTTGATTGGTAAGGCCGTGCGGATCCAATCTTTTTTTTAAAATAGGCCATTAGACAGCGGGGCAGTGAGATAAGCTTCTTCCTCGCCAGTCCAAAAAGCCGCTGACGTGCACACGCGCTCAAAAGGCCGTCACTTCCAGTGCGTGACGAAGGCGGGCGACATCCTTTCCCTGTTCGCCCCTATTGCAATCATAACCGCACCAGTACCACACGGCAAGGGCAACGGCACAGGGCGAGCGAGTCAACGGTTAAATTCCCAGTCCAGCAGCCCGGCAGCCACCCACCGCATGGCCCTGAAGCCGGTGTACTGCTCGGGCAGGAAGATGCCGGTGATGGTGACATCGTCTCCGGGCTTCATGGTGCGGGTCACCTCGCCCAGCAGGTGGATAGACAGCGTGCGGGGGGTGGCGCCCTCGGGAACCTACAGCGTCAACAGAAACAGGCGGCGGTAGTCGCTCTGACGTAAATGAAGCTTTGAACAGTCGTGCGGAGGGCAGGATTTCCAGATGTCGGGCTGCTTGAAAGCAAATTCTCAGGATGAAGAACAAAAAGGAACAGTATGTAGAACGAGGGCGGCCGGAGAGGGCAGTGTCAGGTGTGGGATCCGCCAAAGGCTTCAACATGTTGAAAGTGGCTTCAGTTAAAATATTGTCTACGTCGGCGCTGGGTTGCCAAAACGCAGTTCCAAGACATGCGAATGAGCTAGGGGCAGGATCTCCCACCTCACAGCCAGGACCACTAAAGAGCCCGTGCCGTTCCCTACAGGCCACGGGCTTTCCTGACGAAGCCCGTCCTCGGCCAATACCCCTTCCCCCAAGCTCCTTCACTCCCCCCCTTCCCAAAACCCTCAGAACGCCTCCGAAACAAGCTCCGAAATCCGCAAACGTGCTCTCCCCCATCTCTACGACCCACCTCCTCTGCCAGCTCCTGCAGCCGTGCCTCCTGGAACTTAACAAACTTGGACCCACGGGTCTCCATTACGGGCTGCATCTTACGGTTCACCTTGGCTCGCTGAGGACCAGTGCATGTGAGTGGGGGGAAAGACGAACCACACACGATGTGAGTGGGGGGGCCCCCCCGGGGTTATACGAGGGAAGAGGGGAGGGGGAATGAGTGCGCGGAGGAGCATTTATTACCCGGAAAGCGACCCCAGGACATGGTGTCCAGCGAGGCGGTGGAAAGCCGAGTACAGCACATCACCCTCCGCTCCTTCTTCCTCCTCCCAGCGTCTGCTGCCAGACTGGCACGAGCTGTGACCCATGGCTCTTCCATTCCTTCAACCATTGGCCTGTCCCGCCCACAACAGCCCATCCTACTCCGCACGCACGGGTTACCATTTCCTCACCTAGGTCGGAGCCACCTTCTCCGAGCTCCCCAACCCCGCTCACACACCAGCACATGCACCGCTCCCTAGCATCCTGCTACCGCTCTCCATGGCAGCCCAACACTTCCTTACCTCCGCAACACAGGTACACGTTTCCGCACAACCCTTCTTTCCCCCCTCTGTGGCCTCGCATATCAGGTTTGGTTCCCGCGTGTGGTAGCCGAGATGCCGTACCTCCGACAGGCCCCCGAACCCCCTCTCGCCCCCGGCCTGCCTCGATCGCCTTCTCGACGCATCCCCCGGTGCCGTACCTCCTTGGAGTCGTTGTCCAGCGGCTTGAAGGTCCGGCCCGTCACCTCCTGGTACACCTCAAAGCCGGTCTCCGGATCAGTGTACGCCACCACGCTGACCAGCGGCTTCACGTCAGTAACATGAGTAACGATGCCCTGCAGACAGACAGACAAACAGGCGGATCGCTCCCATCTGCAACGCCGTCGCAGCAAATTCCTCGCCAGCCAGCCAGTCACACTAGCGTCGCGATGAGCAGCAGAACGACAAAATCGCCGCCGCGTTGCAACGGCCTGCCCGGAACATCAATTGTGCCCAAGGGCTGGCGTGGTTTCAACGGACTCGCGGGGCCCCCCAACAGGTCATGATTCAGGAAGGGGCATTCCCGCGCTATTATCAACCCCTACCCTCCGCCCAACGCGAAAAAAGTCCCTTTTCCCGTCCCCTCCCTAAGGTAGACGGCGGAAGACGCGGTACGCACCCGCACGCGGACCAGTTGACCCAGGTGGGTGGCGCGGACGGATCGCATGGGCAGCGGCGCCATTTTGCTGCGTGGAGCAAAGTACACGTCGAAGCGGCGGAGCAGGATGTCCGGACAGCCGCCGCGGACAGTGCCAGGCACCGCGCCGCGGCCACTCGAGTGGTTGGCCTGGCCGGTCTCGCGCTGCAGGCACCGAAGTGGATGTCATTAAACTGTGCACACATGCATGTGCCGGGGGGAAGCATCTCCGTTCTGGGGATATGTCCGTTCTTCGGGGCAAAGTACTTTACACGGGAATAGAAAATGTCCGTATTGCCCCGAGAAGTACGGCCTTCCCGTACATGAATTGGAATCCAGGTTAGCGGGCGGGGATACTGGTATGGCTCATTAGGCCACTAGCCGTCCATCAGAAGCCAAGAGGCATTAAAACAGGCGTCCACACATCCTCAACGCGATGACCTTTTGGCGGTCGACGTTGTTAACCCAGTTCAGCTTACCGCTTCTGTTGCGCGCATCTGGCCATCCATGATCTTCCGCTGCATTCATATGCCCGCAAGAGAGGGAGGGGAGGAGGTGAAGGTGGAAGGAGGAAGGGAAGAGGTCGTGCGCTGAGACGGCGGTGGGGCATGCATGGCAGGATGAGACAAATCGGTTATTGGCTCGGGCCCTGTCAAGGTAGGTACGGAGGCAGGTATGGAGGCCGCATCAGCTCTCCACGCCTCTGTCCACGTGCAGTTAGTCCACGTTGAGAGCCGCATCGCGCAGAATCCGGACCAGATGCCGTTGCAATTATGACAACGAAAGGAAAGGTGATAAAACGACGCCATCACAGCCCCTCCGTTCCCACACGTTTTTGCTTACGTGCTCGGACAGGATGTCGTACACGTCTTTCTTGACGTCCGCGGCGGTCACGTCGGGGGCCGGCATGAGACGATCGGCGGCCTCGGCCATCAGCTTCTGGTATGTGCGTGTATTGCGCTCAACCTCCGCAACGAAGCCTGGCTGCTGCGGCTGTACCTCCATGAAGAACTGATGGCCGGAAAGGGGGAGAACATGGCAAGAGTGTCGGAATTCCCAAAACCCACTTTGCGCGCTTGCCAATATGTAAGTGAACATGCGACATTGTTCCCTTCTAAGACGCATAAGCGGAGAGGGCAGATGCATTGCCTTGCCATCGAAAGGCGGACGCCCTGAAGCGGTACTAAAACACGCCTTTCGGCAGTCTTGGGAAGATAAAGGGACAGCCACAGGACGCCGCATGTCGCAGAAATCCTTTGGGACAGCCCCGCCTCCGCTCTCACCCAAGCTCTATGGCACGCCACACAAGTTGGCAAGGCAGACCGATGCTCACGGTGTTTGTGTGTCTTTGCAAGCACAAAATGGGCAAGAGCTGGGGACTTCATACCATAACATGCCATCGCCCAGGCGTAAACCCCGGCGTACCGCCTCAACATCATCCAGCGAGATGGACAACACCTTGCTCCTGCGATTCGCAATTTCTTGCTGCGTGGGGCGGGGTTGGGCCGGAAGGAACAGGAATGGGGGACAGAGGTTTTCTATAAATACTGAGACGTGATGAGAGCCGGCTCAGCGTCGGCAACCCCATCGAATGCCGTATGTGCACTGAGCGGGTATCATGGTGACGCATTCTTGCAGTGTTCACACGACACCGCGCCGGCCGCACACAGGCGAAGACGTCCAGAGGACAATCTGGCTGCATGCAGTCTAGCAAGACGCACCAGCTGACGCATGTATTTTGTCTTATCATCACTCTCCGGGTCCATGAAGTTTTGAAGGAACATCTCGCAGTTTCCTGCGGTACGGAGACAATATCAAGGGGCCCTGTGTTTCGCTTCAGGCTTTCAGTACCTAACGTGAGAACGGCATGCATTGGATTGTTTATAAACTAGCGCACTCACTCGCTGCCTCAGCTTGGTTCGGGTGTCCGCTGGCCATGGCTGGAAAGAGTTGAAACTAGTGAGCAACGCAGTCAACGTCACGTTTGTGCGACTCCAATTACTCAATTCGACTGGTATATGAAGTCTTATCTGAGGAGCATCACAACAGGTGAAGCGTAGCAACTAACTGAGCTTTCGCGCCTTTCTGCATGCTGTACGGTTATTGCTCCGAGACCAACACTTTTGTTGGTAAGTAATGACCACGATTGTCTTGTCCTCTACTTATTTGTAGCTGTGTCTTCATCGGAATAGGATTGCGAAAATCAAGGAGGTTGTCATTGGGTATAACATGTGCGCTTTGTCATGCTCACAGCACGGAAATGGCGTTGGGTTTACGAACATTATCAATCTCTTGGAGTGTATTTATGTTATTCGAGAGCAAATCCCGCGTTAAGTCTCTGAATAGCTAGCGGTTCTGTTTAGCCTTAAATTGGGAGCCAGGAAAATGTGCACACACTTTCCGACATACTGCATAGACATGAGCTCAGCATAAGGACCTCCTTGCTTATGTGTTTTCAATCCATGTTTGTATTTAGTGTATAAATGAAACCACTGTAAGAAAGCCAGGGAATTCTCAAAGGTGTTCTTGAAGTTAAGATTACATAGCACAGCATGTAAGCTTGCTTTTGCGACTGCACTAGTCAAGCCACAATGCGCTTTGGGGCTGCTATGCATCCCCATGAAATTACAACTCAATCGATTATCTTCTCAGGTACTATGAGAAAACTGCTACACGCAGCTCTGCTCTATAAAAAAAATACAGATTCCTTTCCCTCATGTCTCCGATTCCCCGAGCCGGTTTGCCCTACCCTTTTAAAGGAAGACAGCATCGCCACAATTGTTAAGTGTTTAACCTTGGTACATGTGCATCACCACGGTCATCTGGGCAGGGAGCGCTGTCAGGACACCCATTTCCAGCACATAACAGAACCAGCGAGAACACACCCTCGCATACCACTGAAAACGCTGGGACGCAGAGACTAGCATCACAGGCACTGCGCGCAAGCCTACCCTTCTTGTGGCCGCTGCCAGAACGTCATTCCCTCCAGACACACCAACAAGTCCTAAACCTACCGATGAGCGTCTTTACGCATCCGAAACGACGCCGTTCGAAGTGAGAATCAACGACCCGGATACGGCACTACGCTGAACAAACCCCACAACTGCGAAAGCAAGCCAAGGCTTCAACACAGCCACTGGCGCAGCATTAACGCTTTACTTGTTCTTAGCGCCCATCTGGTCCAGCTGCGCCTGCAGACCGCCCAGAATGTTGAAGGCCACCCAGCCCAGGGCAGGGACAAACAGGGTTGCAATGATGCCCAGGCGGTTGTCGTTGGCAGCCAGAGTTGCGAGCTCAGTCGAAGCCTCTGCAGACTGTGCAGCCAGCAGCGTGGCAGCGGCTCCCAGGCCAATCGCAGCTGGCACAGCTCGCTTGCGCTTGGGGTCGCTCTTAGCGCTCATCTGGTCCAGCTGCGCCTGCAGACCGCCCAGAATGTTGAAGGCCACCCAGCCCAGAGCAGGAACAAACAGGGTTGCAATGATGCCCAGGCGGTTGTCGTTGGCAGCCAGAGTTGCAAGTTCAGTCGCGGCGTTTGCGTTGCCGGCCATCATCCAGGTCGAGGCCACGGTCGACAGAGCAGCGACAGTGCCGAACTGCGAGATAGATCATCAAGGAGGTTATTAGCTAGGAATAGATACAACTTGGACATTTAGCCCTATTACACCCTTTCAGTCACACGCAGACGCAAGGATACTATCCATCGCCCTTACAGAAATCAACGCAGTTCATCCCAAGTCCACAGAGACGCCGATAACGGAAATCAAACAATCTCCGGAAAAATGGGCAACCGACGGCAAGAGCTCCGACGAAGGTTCCATGCCAAGGTCCCACAAGGAAAGGGTCAGATCAAACTTTAAGGCTTTTTCTCTAGGCGCCAAACGAAATTCACCAGTGCTGTTTGCTTAGAATTGACAGCAGCTATGTACATTGCACGATTGAGGTGAAGCCCACCTTAAAAGCGGCATCCAGCTCCTGGCTGGCCTGTGCGCGGACAACAACAGCCCTAGCAGACTTGCGAGATGGCAGCACGGGCTTAGCACTGCGCACGCTGGCGCGCATCGCCACGGCCGAAGAAACGGACATCCTGAGGGTGGCCATCTTTGGTAGTGGTGATATCTCCGCCTCTTCTGCTGCAGCTACGCCCGGTTGGAAGGTGGCACGCGCAAACACCAATGATGCAATTCTCGCACACGTCAAGAGGCTGGGCTTGCGGGAATTTTGCTGAGTTTGAGATCGCTGTACGGCTCACCCCTCCTGGAGATCGAATGGTCAACGCACAAGGCACAACGCTGCCGGAAATAGCATCCATTTCCTAGTATTTCAAAATAAATGTGTTATTTTTACATCAAGGAGAGATATGCGTCCGCCGCATGTACCTACACTGTCTCGGAGATTCTTAACAAGACATCCTAGTGCCCGCTTCTTTGCTTACCTTGCTTCGGTTTAAAATCAACAAAGCTGCAATATTTCCTAGCCTTCTGCGCAAACATTGGAACTGCCGGGTATCATTGCCTCTGCAAAATCCATAGCACCTCCCTAATAGGTTGCCATACCCTTCAGTCCGCGGAGTTAATCCCATGGCATGAATGCAGCCGCTTATGTTCATTTGAAAGGTCGTCCACTGGGCTACTGGGACAGAAGACTGAAAGTTATCAAGGTCAGAACGATAGAGGGTACAGGATCCATGGCCACATTCGTCATTCAGGGTGTTCCTTAGCTCGCGTGCTTGACTTCAAGTCAATCGGAATGCGTTGCTGGATCTTTCTTTGAGGCCGGGAATTAAAGCCTAGGGCGTATGAAAATGCCTAACCACGAAAAGCCTTACCACGAAAAGAACCACCTTACGAAACCGGGTGCGGGCCTTCTCCCCAGATAAGCCAAACGGACCGTGACCTCCAAGGCGCAAAACCCCCACCAGCCCTAGTGAACGCACGAGAGCTCGTCCCGGAGAGATGGGAGCTAGCAAGTATAACAACTCCAGATCATAGCATCTACCTGCATGCAAGACGGACCCGCCACGCACGCCAAGGCATTTACACAGACCGGGCGAACACACAGGCAAACACACACGGGGCGAAGGATAAGTCCAAAGACCAACACACGCGAAACACGGAACGCGACGAATTCCTGACACTGGCAGGGTGGGGCCATCTTGTGTTTGGAAGGCTCAGAAGGGCTCGCCCGAACGTTCCAGCTGATCCACAGCCTTCATGTAACAAAATCAATTCCGATTAAGCCAGAGTGTATTGAACGTGAAGGGCGAAGCGAAGCTGGCCATCATGAAGCCGACGCCATCGCCAGGCAAAAGCCCCAGACAGTCCTTCATAACAATGAAGCATAACGATGAAGATGTCGGAGACGCCGGTAGAGACAAACCGGAAAGTTTTCTTGGGTCCAAAGACCGCCGAATGACTCAGCCGAATGGCTCAACCCGAAGATGTCGGGGGATGTTGGGATGTCGGGAGCCAAGTCGCGCATTAGCTTGCCGTGCAAATGACACGTCATGCACAACAAATGCCACTCGCGTTGAGCGCACTCCGTGCAGGCGGAGAGGCGCCCTGGACTCCTTAAAAACGGAGAATGATATTCAAGTGCTTCTGTTTACCAGCCACAAATGGTCACCGGTTTGTTGATGTTGTGACAGGGTGGTTAAGCTTCACCAGTGGCCTCCTTCCCGTCCCCTGCTAGAGGGGCACCCTAATCCACTCACCCCATCCGACTTCAGAGTGTACTCTTTGAGTTTGGGAACTCACCACCGGCATCCACCAAATCTAGCGGATCAACGGCGCGTCAACTTAGTTCCTGGTCAGCTCGCAAGTTTGTTGTTCTTCCCTTACCTGCTTGAAGGGCGCCCCTGCAAACCCAGGAGCAAAACGCCTTGCAAACACATTTCATGTACCGGTATTGGATCTACACGTTCGTTCATGGTTTGTGGCACAAGGCAGCTGTCATACCGTGTGGCCCATACGTACTTCAGCGAAGCCCGCCACAGCCCGTGTTCCCGTTGTTCCAGCAACAAGCAGTGCAGATGGCATGCCAGGCAGCAGGTTTGGTAAGCCCGGATGGTTGGGGTTTGACGCGTGAGAACAGTTAGGTAGGCCAAGCCCAAGCGGATGGGTAGTTAAAGATTCTCACCCTGTAGCATGGTGATGTATGGGGCTGGGCCGACGCACAGTCAGGCCCTCAACAGTAACTCTAGCAGCCCCTGCACTGTGATAGCTTCTTTGCCGGCAAATGAACATTACGCAGCAGAATGGTGAGCTTAAGGGCTCACGTGCAGAGCTAACGCCCCTGAGCAACGTCAACTCAATACCTATACACCGTAATCTGCACGGCTGCTTTAGTACGTGAACAGGTATGCACCAAATTTGTGAAGCAAAACAGCTGTGACCCTGCAAGAGCTGACAAGAGCTGGCACAGTCTCCAAGCAGTGATGATTACAGCTGAACCCACAACGCAATCGTCGTGCCTATACTGCAACAGGGAGCATTGTGCACATATTGAAGGCTGCGTTGCTGGCTGGGGACGATCTTGCTACCAAAGGAACGAACTGCAGCACTGACACAGGAGGGAAGGATGGGTCTCGCAGAATAGGAGGGCCTCGCAGCGGTGCGCTAAGCGAAATCAGTTGCGATGCCCGCGTTACAGGGACACTGTCATGGAGAAGCTCCTCGCTCGCCACGTGCTCGGAAAGGGAGCGCTGCCGGAGCACCGGGGGCGGGAATGGTTTTTTTTCGAGACGCGCCATATTTGGCATAAGGAACTGAGAGCCCGAATACAGGCGTCGCGGCTGTAGGACTTCGGCAACGGTCTATGCTCTTTTTGACACAAAAGACCCAATGTTCAAAACGGTACGCACTCCCTAACAAAGGTTTCAAGTGGTTCCATACCATCCACGCGGGAACAGATCATCTTAGCGGCGCCGTGGCATAGAAACTGCGACGACAGGCCTCCGACTGTATGCAACAACGTAAAGGCAGACACAGTTCCCTATCCAATTTGTGAGAATTTATCACGGCGTAAGTAATTTCAGCATAGATGTAAAAATAGCGCATGCCAACAAAGGCCACACTACTGTAAAAGGTCACCTTTCAACGTCTAGGACGAGTTAACATTTACTCAACTCTCAGACATGTGTAGAGAGGTGTTTTTTACTTATATAAGCTTAACGATTCTACCATAAGCAAGTTTCAGGGGATCTGGTTGCTTGCTCAGAAACCACGATCTGTCGTAACAGAATCCCCATCAATAACCCAAGTCGCGCGACGAAGCAGTTGTCTCCACGCAGCTCCGGAAAAATGGCGTTCGTTCTGAGCAAGTCGTCTGCCTTCGGCGTGGCTGCCAAGCCCGTCTCGCGTCGCTCCAGCGTCGCCGTCAAGGCAAGTAGGAATGGGAAGATAGATGGTCTGGACAGTCACGGTATCAGCTGAGCGAGTCCAAGTATACAAGTAACAATATGACGCGCCTACCTCGGAGAACTGTTGCTGGGCGAGGTACAATAGTTAGTAGTTGTGATGGCGTTCGACCGCGCTGGCCAGCATTGGTCAACCGAGCAACGCAGACTTCCTGTGCACCTATGATAAGCTTGATTCATACACGTGCTGATTCAGGAGTTCAAGTCCTAGTTTGAAACCTCAGTCGCAATTGCATTTACCTCGTCTCCGGTCATAAGGTTCAACCAATGCCTATCATACACTTAGTTCACTTTCCGCTTGACACATTCATTCTCCGTTAGCCAGCTCGCTGATCCTTTGCTCGCTTCACTGACAGGCGTCTGCCGTGCCGGAGAACGTCAAGGAGGCCCGCGCCTGGATCGATGCCTGGAAGAGCAAGCAGGTATGCTTATCTACACTACAAACATGTTCCACCTGCTCGATTCGTGCCTGGGTTCCGGATTCACAAGTTGCTTATGGCTGTGTGTATGTTCCTTTTCCCCTATCTCGACCAGGGCGGCGCTAAGCGCGACCCCAGCCTTCCCAGCTGGATGCCCGGCGCTACCCTGCCCGGCTACCTGGACGGCACCCTGCCCGGCGTAAGTCTTTTCTTCATTCTTTGCTTGGGATAACTACTTCCAGTTACTCGAATTAATGTCGTCCTTGTGGTATCCTTTGCAGGACTTCGGCTTCGATCCGCTCTACCTGGGTGCCGAGCCCTCCAAGCTGAAGTGGTAAGCCGCCCTCTATATGTGATGAGAATGTGCGGTTTTGTTGAAAAAGGACCCGTAATAAAACAGGTGCTGTATACATCGCGGCTGCATCTGCACTAATCGGCTCTTGAATTTAAGATCCTATGAAATTCATGGTTTCTCCTTTGCAGGTATGCCCAGGCTGAGCTGGTGCATGCCCGCTTCGCCATGTTGGCTGTCGCTGGTATCCTGGTTCCGGAGCTGCTGACCAACATCGGCTTCTCGTGGCCTGGTGCTGGTGTGGCGTGGTACGACGCTGGCAAGTTCCAGTACTTCGCCCCGGCGAGCTCGCTGTTTGGCGTTCAGATGCTTCTGTTCGCTTGGGCTGAGCTCCGCCGGTGAGTCACGAATTCTAATCGATTCGGTTTTAGTAACGTTACGTCTAAGATAAGTTCCATGGTTGCTTGGTCACAGTATTCTGTACATGACGTTTTTCATCCATTCCTAAATTGACCCTGTCGTATCCGTCGCACAGGTACCAGGACTTCGTCAAGCCTGGCTCGGCTAACCAGGACCCCATCTTCAGCAACAACAAGTTGCCGGATGGCAATGAGCCGGGCTACCCTGGTGGCATCTTCGACCCCTTCGGCTGGTCCAAGGGCGACATGAAGAGCTTGAAGACCAAGGAGATCAAGAACGGCCGCCTGGCCATGCTGGCCTTCGCTGGCTTTGCTGCCCAGGTAAGATCGCAGATGAGTGTTACCGCTAAGCATTTGGCATATTAGCATATACATTCATGGCTTTTATATGTGGTATGATAGTGGTACAATAGTGAAATCTACCTATGCCCCATGTTTTTCCTCCCAGGCCTACACAACCGGCACTACCCCCCTGAAGAACCTAGCTACGCACCTGGCGGATCCGTGGGCTACCACTGTCTGGCAGAACGACCTGGCCCGCCTGTAAACTGCTGGCTGATTGTTGCTATCTTGACTGGTCCATGCTGATGCGTGCTAGCCATTACTGATGCGACAGTAGCAGGCTGCCAAGGTGTTTGGGGTATATTCCCCGTGTGATGCTGTAACAGATGCGGTGTCCACCTCGTAGCATTACTGCAAGGGCACTTGCTTGTGGATGTAGGCCGAGGCTTGCACTGAGAAAGCGGTTGACGGTTTTATTTTGTTCATCCGTGACCATTGCGACTCGTGGTACTTGTAAGTTGGGGATTTGGTCAAGCTAGTGACTACTACCATACATTCAAGGCAAATTGTGGAGTCGGCAAAAACGCGGACGATGCAAAAGACATGTAACAGCGATGTATTGTCATCCACATAGAAACAAAACTTAAGTAATACTCAATCGGTCGAACTAGAATCAATCGTTAATGCCATACGCAAGGTCTGCTGGTCATTCATCCCAGCCATTTCTACCGCTTCCTTTTGGCGTAGCATTTCTTCTGAGGCAACCGCTGCCATACGTTGCTCCTGGGTGAGAGAACTCGCAACGGCATATCCATAGTTAACACGAGCAATCTGCTGGACGGAATGTTCTTGATCTCGAAGACCCCTTTGATGCCACAAGCGGAAATCCGTAAGACTTCCACGCGCCCCATCCCCTTTCACTGCGGCTTGAGAGGCGTCCCCGGCTTCCGCGATAGCCGGAGCGAGCGAAGTCGACACGCAAGTGAGTGCGCCTATAAGTTTCGGCCCGCCAGATGCCGTCTTCATCCCAGCGGGGAGCAAACGCACGGCCAGCCCCTCCTCTTGCTGCGAAAGCTCCTCCCGGACCAACTTCTCGAGCATGAAAAGGTCTAAATCAGGGACGCCCATAACACGCAAGGCGTCTGCAAGTTTGTAGAGATAATCACAATTGGGCCCGGACGGGCCGTGCGACGTTGCGATCTGCGCCGCAATGACCCTTGGGTCCGCTGGGCCAAGGTAGTTTCGGTTGTTGGGGCTGGCGATGTAAACCAGCGCGCCGCGCACCAACACCTCTCCATCTTTGCCGTATACGTCAACAAGCTTCCGTACATCGTACTCCTTCTCACGCCATTCCAGGTATGACAGTGCAGCGGCCTGCTCCTCTGCCGTCCCAGCCAGTTGAAAGGCGATGCCCCACGTTGCAGCCGTTGCTTCGTTGTCTGCCGTCAACGTGACGGTCCTGCCAGGCCTCTCAGGAGTACCCCGATGGTCAGTGGAGCCCTGCAGAGATTGGTGCGAGATCGGGTCGGATTGCGTAGGGCTCCCTCGTCGCTGGAGGCACTACCAGCGCCTGTCTGCGCGTCAGCCTTACACAGTTTTGTCTGCTCGTGTATTTCATTGAATTGCAGAGAGTTGTGCAGGCGGTGCAGCAACCCATTACGACAAGAGTTTGGCCGTGGTGTAGCACGGTGTCAGCGAAGCCACATCGGGAAGTTCAATGAAAAGTTGCCCAAGGCCCGGCAATTATATCCCTTCGCTTGAGTATCTAGCTGGACATGCACACCTGCCAAAAAACACGGCGATAACCCTTGATACAGCCAATCACGTGCTTGTCATACTGGAAATTGGGCGTGTGGATTAGGCTCCCGTATCCAAAAACCCATATTGGTTTATTGGTTAAACTACTCGGCAAAGGGTTGCTCATGGCGTCTAGGCGTCTTGCCCCGTTGAAGCTAACGCTTTTTGAGCCACGTCGCAATCCTACGTATTTCAGAAAACCGTGCTTTACCATAACTTCATACCTGACATCTTTGGAATTGGTTTATTTCGTAAGTTGCTATTCATAAAGCGTGCTTCGCGTGTGCGATGTCATGTACGGACTATTGGACGAACAACTTCTACAATTTGGTTGTGAAATTAGTTTTGCTGGCCGCCCATCACTGCGAATCCTAAAGTTATTAGGTGCAGCCACGTTAGAACTTTTTTCCCCGGTTTAAACACCTTTTAGGCGTGTTGCGTGCCTGTTTAATTGGACAGAATGGTTCGCAAAGAGGCCACCCGTCTGGTAGCAGCTCTTTTCAGGGCCAGCAACAAGGGCATTTCCTCGTCATGGAGCGTTGGTGGTACTCGCCTGAAGTCGGCGATGCCTGAGCCCCAGGAGGCGAAGGACGAGGACCTTCACCACAAGGACGGCAAGGTGCTGCATCCACACCTGCTTAACGAGAACGTTATGAAGACGCAGTATGCCGTCCGTGGAGAGTTATACCTGCGCGCTGAGCAGCTACGCAAAGAGGGCAAGGAGATTATCTTCACAAATGGTACGCTTGCATATACGAGATGACGGCTGATGAATTATGCTGTCTGTTCAAGTTATGGAGCTTTCTTCTGTCCATTTGCAGTTGGAAACCCTCACGCTCTGGGCGCGAAGCCCCTTACCTTTCCCCGTCAGGTGCGGGACGGGTATTTCCGTTTAGGCAGCTTTTACAGACGGCATTTGTAGGGTACATAGCCGAGCAGCTATGCATTTCCTTGCGGTTTTGCAGCAACTACTTCTAAGCTCAGCTTGCGCCAGGCCTCTTAACTCGCAACCGTTGGAGTTCTGTACCTTGTGAAGCCTCTTGTGCTGGCGAGCGTTGAGCCCCCAGAAACCGGATGTGCATATAGGTGGTGGCGCAAGTAGCGAACGTAGGCAATGCCACCCATCCTATCCTCGCACGCAGTGGGCCAGCGGCGCACGTATTTTATCGGTGCGCTTCTACAATTTAAGCCTGCCCACCATCCCATGCTGCTGGCAGGTGTTGGCGCTGTGTGCTGCGCCATTCCTGCTGGACCACCCTCGTGTGGAGGAGCTGTTCCCAGCCGATGCGATTGCCCGAGCTAAGAAGATCCTGTCCGCCTTCAAGGGTGGCGTAGGCGCTTACACGGACAGCCGTGGTAACCCCTTGGTACGGGAAGAGGTGGCCCGTTTCATCGAGAAGCGCGACGGTGTGGCATCCAATCCCGATGTAAGGAGGGTTAGCGCGCTCATGGTATTCCTGCTTAAGGTTGCCGAAATATAGGGGTTTCGGGTTTACGGTATAGTTTAGCCGGTAGGAGGCCGTACACGGAGTTCAGGCGATGCACTATGCAATCATCACTCGCGACATATCAGGTGGCGCTCGGCCCATTGCAATAACATGGTATGCTACGTACGTACATCGCCGTTGCTTTTTACATCATCTCTGCGTTGCACTTGTTGTTTGATTCAACTGTCACCTCCTTGGCACCGTGTTACACCTGGTCTGGGGAACGGACGCTAGTATGCTACCTACGCCGTGATTCTTTCAATCCTGAGCCATGAGAGCTTCTCAGCTTGCTTTGCAACGAGCTCTACAACCAATCCTCGTTTCGGAACGTCACCCGGATACATCGGCAAATCGTGCACACTCAAGGCTTGTTTTGCGCGTACTTCCCTGCATGTTGTCATGTCCGCAGCACATCTTCCTGACGGATGGTGCCTCCGTGGCGGTGCGCCTCTGCCTCAACGCTATGATCCGTCACGAGCGCGACGCCGTTCTGGTGCCCATCCCGCAATACCCGCTGTACTCGGCCTCGATTCGCCTCTATGGTGAGCCACGACGGAAAAACTGACAAGTTCCCATGTTTTCATGTTTTAACTATCAGCTTTGGGCGCGGACCGGCACGGGCTCTGCGGGTTTGGCGGTATCGGACCGCAAGGTTTGGATAGCCCCCTGGGGTTTATTCACGAAAGCACATGCTGCTAATAATGTGTCGCGCCTTATCTCACGTGATTTGGTGCTTGTTGTTTAGGTCTCACCCTAAGGAGGGGCCATCTGCATACGCAATCGCCTGATACAGTTATCTTCGCTCCAAGCTTGCCTCGTGTGCCGCACGTGCTGCCATGTTGCCACCGCACCACACTACCCGACGCACTATGCTGCTGTACTGCCAGGCGGTACCCTTGTGGGTTACTTCTTGGACGAGCGTCGCGGCTGGGCTTTGTCAGTTGAGGAGCTGAGGCGCTCTCTCAAGGAGGCCCGGGAGGAGGGCAAGCTAGTGCGCGGACTGGTGTTCATTAACCCCGGCAATCCCACTGGTGCGGAGCAAGGGACACAGTTTTGGATCATGTGTTTGTGGGAGGGAGGTTGGCGGGTACTGGGGCATTAATTATTGGCCCAAGTTACAGTTGCCTGAAGAAGCTCTTTCTAATGATGCAGGTAGTGCGTTGATGGGTCGAGCTTACCATTGCTTGAACAGGCCAGTGACTTAGCCCATGATGTGTCTCTAGGTCTATGCTCACTGCGGGTTCGTTCGTCCTTGCGTTGCCTAAACAGGCCAGTGCCTCAGCCAGGAGAACCTCAAGGAGCTCATCCAGTTTGCCTACGAAGAGCGAATTGTGCTGATGGCCGACGAGGTGTACCAGGTGGGAATTGGGGTCTCCGGTATAGTGGAAAAGGGCCCAATGTGATTATGGCCAGACTACAGCATCTCTGTGTCACACCTTGAGTATATCACCAAGGGGTTGGAAAAGTGGTTCATACCGCAGGGGGTTTGTCTTCGGAACGAGCGGACAAACAGAGAGAGCAAGATCAAGACAGTAGATCTTAGATTGTGGATTTCGCATGTTGGTGCCGCGACAATATACAAATGGGTATAGCAAAACGTTTGAAATTCTCTTTCACAACCGTTGTTCTTGTACATGTAGCTCTGTCTCACGTTATTGCCTTTATGCATGGGTGTGGCGACACCTTGAACACGCTACGACTCGACAAGATTCCTTGCCAAATTACCTGCATCTGTTAGTGTGTCGAGCCCTGTTTATGAACCCCTCAAATGATTTTCTATCGTGGATGTGCAGGAGAACGTGTACCAGGACGAACGGCCATTTGTCAGCGCCAAGAAGGTCATGTATGAGATGGGGGAGCCGTATCGCAGCCATGTGGAGCTGCTGTCGTTCCACACCGTGTCGAAGGTAAGCATTGACTTACGGGTTTGAGCTGGTCTGGTCTCCTTACCAGTCCTAATTCTCACAATGGTGGATATGGGGTTGGGATCATCCATCCAGTTGTTTGAAAGGATCTCTGCAACACCTTGCAGCAGAGCTAGGTTTCAATATAAATCTTGTGGCTTTCATTGCTGCGTATTGCGCTTCCTTTATGAAAGTTGCACACTGGCGGTGGTGTTGTGCTCTGCATTGTGCACTCCGTAACTCCGCGATGTGGTTGATTGGTCACACTGCTTGGCCATGCAGCGCGTGATTTGGCATCGTGTACGTGTTTCACGCAGGGCACGGCTGGGGAGTGCGGCCTGCGCGGCGGTTACGTGGAGATGACAAACATCCATCCTGGAGCCATCGAGGAAGTCTACAAGTGTGCCTCCATCAACCTATCGCCGAATACCATGGGCCAAATCGCTCTGTCGTGCCTGGTCAACCCCCCTAAGCCAGGTGAGTACATGAGACCAGACCTCGCTGCATCGGGCCGCAACCCAGCGCAGGGGAGTAATGTGAATTGCATAAGAGGGTTCGCACCGGCTATGCCCTGTCCGTGTGTTTTTTGCATAGTTCCAGAAGTTCATTTGCTTGCCGGTTGTAATAACAATCTTTGGCTGTCCAGGTGACTCCTCTTACGAGATGTATACCAAGGAGAAGGCTGCCGAGCTGGCGTCGTTGCGGCGGCGGGCGCATATGGTTACGGACGGCTTCAACTCACTGGACGGTGTGACCTGCAACTTCACGGAAGGCGCTATGTACAGCTTTCCACAGGTAAGAGATTTGTCGTCTGTTTGTAGTGGTGGCCTTGAAGGTGGCGTGAAGGTAGTCGTTGCTGAATCTCTGACTTAGGTAGTACCGCGCTGTTTCTACCCTTTTTGGTTTCCTGTTAGTAGCGGTGCGTTGGATGTCGCATATGAGAGCACGCATGGGCTTCAGCACAGCCAAGGGAGGTTGGAAATGGAGTCCCCCGGCTAGGGCTTGTTATGGCAAGGGAAGAGGCCACATGGTAAGTCAAACCCAAGACGCCTGGGGGAGTGAGCGCACTGCATGCCGCGGACAAGTTCGGTCGTTGGTCGGCCATGCAGCTGCTTTGGTTAAGGCCTGCTGCTCAGATGCTTAAGTGCGACCAAGCCATGTGTCTTAATGATTGTTTCTTCATATTTTATTAATGTGAAGACCTTCTAAGGGTGGTCTGTGCCCTTGCTGCATTGCCCATAAGTGCCTCGGGAATTTCCTCGCTCTCTATGGCAATATTGTTGCTACCTGACGTCCTGTTGTAATGACGACAACCCCCAGATCAAGCTGCCACCAAAGGCTCTTGAGGCGGCCAAGGCTGCTGGAAAGGCGGGCGATGTGTTTTATTGCCTAAAGCTGCTCGAGTCGACCGGCATCTCCACCGTTCCCGGCAGCGGCTTCGGCCAGGTCAGCAAGGGGTGATGGCTGCGTGGGACTTGCTATGGCATATGATGCGACTTGGTTCGCCATGGCCACTTGGGTCGTAGAGCTGGCTTAGGCTGGAATTGTTTTGATTTCATTGTGCATTTTGCGGAACCTTAGAGCACTGTGCCTTTCCCTGCCTTCGCTTCGCCACCCTGCAGGAGGACGGCACCTTCCACCTGCGTACCACCATCCTGCCCCGTGAGGAAGTGATGAGCTCGTTTGTGGAGAAGTTTGAGAAGTTCCACAAGGACTTCATGAAGCAATACTCTTAAATTGTGCTGGCCCTGCGGTCTTCGAGCTTGCGCGTCGCAATAGCCGATAGAATGCTGTCTAGTTATGTCTGGAGTGAACGGATAACGCTGTAACGCACCGGCGAGGTATGCGCGTCGTGTGGCAGTGGAGTGCACGCGCGGAAATCTGCTTGAGGAAGACGAAGGGACAGTTTTCGTGGGGGCATGCTCAATGCTCCTCACGGCGGCTGCAAGATGAATATCGTCTGTTTAGAGGTGGGTCCTTCGTGGCTCGAATGCGTTTGGCTCTTTCGTGTTGGCTTGTATACCTTGAGGTTGGAGCATTGAGACCGGTTGGCGTGGTTTCGCTGCTCCAACCTTTGTTCACCCGTCTCGGCTGGGTCCTATCCTAGCCGTCGCGGGTGTTCCGGTGAAACCCGCATATGGCATATGTTTCGTATTGGTATTGGCCATTGCATTACCGGGTTGCCATGTTGTACAGAACGACAGGACGCTGTTGGCACAGGTTTTGCGGCGGGAATGTTGTTGCCACGTCTTCAGGGGCGATGTGCTCATTACTTGTGCGAGCAAGCCATGGGGTTGTATCTTGTTGGGGTTTGTGATTTGATGTGTTCAATAACCCTTGGAGAAATTTTGCTGCCCTGACCGGGCGAATGTTGTGGCGTTGGCTACTTCATGTTTTGGGCAAGATGCTATTCGCGCTTGCCTGGCGCGGGCTGCGCTATGCATATAAACATATTGGCCAGGTGTTAGGCAGTGTGCTATGGGCACTATATCACGTGCTTTTCCTGCGTTCGAAGTAAGCTCCTGAATTTTAGCATTCAGGCTGTGGGAGCTTTGACGCGAGCAGTGAAAGGAGCTGACGCTTCCAAAAAGGCTTTTGGATAGTGTGGAATGTATTTCTTAGGATAGGGAACTGGGCGGATTTTACCTTGTTCTCGCCCTGACCGATCCCTTGCTATGTTGATGACCTTCAACGTGCCGAGTTGCCAATCACAGTGGATTTTATAATAGCAACCGTGGTTACCGTAAGCAGTACACTTGTAACTTGGAAAATGACCAGGAAGCTCCGCGCTATCTGCTTGAATCCATGAGTGGCTTGGACATTGTGCCCTTCCTCACATTGCAGCGGACGGATTTTAAGGCAGTGTGTTACATGTGTTGGACAAAAGCTCCATGGGCTTCGAGGTATGATAGTGTCTGACACCGTTTGGACAGAAATGCAGACGGCTTTCCAAATACAAGGACAGTTGTTGATTATGTGGCAGCCCATGTTGCGCATAACTTTCATTGGGAGATTGAGGCTCCGAAACTTGGGGAAAGCCCAACCGCTTCGCTCCATTCTCTTCACTGTGCATGAAACGTTCCTTACTTGTTAGATTGAGCTCAAGTGGCAAGCTTTTCTAGCACGCTGTGGGCCACCATGAGGACACTTCAGCAGCCAACCCTTCGCAGCGGCGCGCGCAGGGGTGTGTTCACACCATGCAGCCGTAATATGCAACGAATTCTCGCCACAGCTGCGCACGCGGATATCCGACGGGAAGCTATGCTCCGGGGTGAGAGCGACGAGGGCCAGCCGACACTGGTCGGCTTTGCCATAGCATATCTACTTGTTGTGCTTCCTGCATCAGCTTGGGTTGATCTCTTCTCTAAAAGTGATGGAGGGCATCCAATTGATGTTTTCTATTTGTGGTCACCTACATGGTTGCCTTTCGCCTTGTCCTCGCAGTGCCGCTTGAGAAGGCGCACACGTTCAATGCCAAATTCGTGCCTTTCACCGATATCCAAACTAGCAATACGTCTAGCGAATTTTACAGTCTGGACGACGTCGTTTACCGATCGCGGGACGGCGGCCTGCTGGATGTGCACCATGATATGAAGGCGTTGTCGCAGTATGGACCGGAGTACTGGCGAGCCTTGTTTGATGCTCGGGTTGGGACAACTGCTTGGCCCTTCGGATCCGGTGTATGGAGCAAGAAGGAATGGGTGCTGCCGGTGAGTTGTGCGGCGCAAGGGCAGGGCTACACCATGACGAGGTTATTGGGTTTGACATGATTTCGATTTACCAGTATTGATTTTCCCTGTTAAGGGGCCCCGTAAAACGTGCAGTATGGGCTTTGCGCACATGGGATAGCCTTTGTCGTCAGTAGGGGATAGAAGACACCTATGGAAATTTGGCCTTACTGAGTTTATAGGTTCTTTTACAATGTTGGAGCGTCCTCCATACCGTGGAATACCCTCCGGCTCGCGCTCACTCTTTGGGTGCGTCGGGTCCCTCTTGTCCCCAGGGTCTGTCGGACGATGACATTGTGTCTATGTTCGAAGGCAACAGCAACCTATTCTGGGCGGAACGTTTTGGCAAGGAGGCCCTGGGTATGACTGACTTGTGGGTCAAGCAGTGCGGTAACAGCCATACGGGCTCCTTCAAGGATTTGGGCATGACAGTGCTTGTTAGTCAGGTGAACCGCATTCGGAAGCTTAAGCCAGGCAGCATCACAGCCGTTGGCTGCGCTTCCACTGGCGACACGTCAGCGGCGCTGTCTGCCTACTGTGCCGCCGCGGGCATTCCCTCGATCGTCTTCCTGCCAGCGGACAAAATCTCGCTGGCGCAGCTCGTGCAACCAATTGCTAATGGCGCGCTGGTGCTTAGCATTGACACGGACTTTGACGGCTGCATGCGCCTGATCAAGCAGGTCACGGCAGAGACCCCCATCTACCTGGCGAACAGCATGAACAGCCTGCGGCTTGAGGGGCAAAAGACCGCTGCAATTGAGATTTTGCAACAGTTCGACTGGCAAGTGCCCGACTGGGTTATTATCCCCGGTGGCAACCTCGGCAATATCTATGCCTTTTACAAGGGCTTCAAAATGTGCAAGGAGCTGGGTCTCGTGGACAAGATGCCGCGGCTCGTGTGCGCACAGGCACAGAACGCCAACCCGCTTTACCAGGCGTTCCATAAAGCGCAAGGTGTTTCGCAAATTAAGGAGAGCTACCAGGCCGTCAAGGCGAAGACTACCTTCGCTTCGGCCATCCAGATCGGCGATCCTGTGTCCATCGACCGAGCAATCATGGCGCTGCAGGACGCCAACGGCATTGTGGAGGAGGCCTCGGAGGAGGAGCTCATGGACGCCGCGGCGCGTGCGGACCGCACCGGCATGTTCAACTGCCCCCACACGGGTGTTGCGCTCGCCGCATTACTCAAGCTCCGGGAAAGGCAGATTATTGGGCCTAACGACAGGACGGTAGTTGTCAGCACAGCCCATGGGCTCAAGTTCGCGCAGTCAAAGGTGGCCTACCACTCCAAATCCGTTCCCAACATGACGTGTCAGTTCGCGAACCCGCCGGTGCAGGTTAAGGAGGACCTGGGTGCGGTGATGGACGCGATCAAGGCTAAGTTCAGCCTCTGAGCGGGCTGGGCATAATCACAACCTATTGTCAGGTTCCCTTTCAGCAGTAACTGTGGCAGGTCCCAGCTGCGCGGGGGTTTCTTTGGTATTGGGGTTTAACCAAGCTTGGATTGGTGCTGCGGTGGCGTCGCTGTCGCGGTACGTGGCTGAGACACTGGCAGTTCGTTCAACTGGATTATGTATCTGGGTCATGCATTCTCGGCCACATATCTGCGAGCTGTTCGACCTGGTGCTGGAGCTCAAAGCGGGGTATCCCCCAGGGCAGGTTGACGTGCGCCTCTGGCCGTTGGAGGCTGCCTGTTTACAGTCTGCTGGCCTGCTAGGGTTCCTCTGCGTCGCTTGTCGTTTGTACGGGCAGCGCCAAACGGCCATCCGTACCGCATTCTGTTGCGGCGTGGCGCGAGAGGAACTACCAAGTGTACCGGTTCTAAACGTTACCGCCAGTGGAAGCGCTGGCAGGATTTGACACAACAGCTGTAGCGCCAGTGGTCCTACAGCAACTGCGGAAGCAGCAGCAGGAGAGCATAGGGCCAGAGGGGATGCAATCCTATGGATGCAGCGTCAAAGGCTGCATCTGCTTTGTCCAGCTGCTATCCGCAGCGGCATGCGATTGAGGGCTCGCCCTGGCTAGAATGGGTTCGGTTAGGGCCCAGATCGTGCGCAATCGTGAAATGGGTACTTATGTCCAGGCGCAGCTTGCAGGTGCAGCACCCTGCTGGCAGCGACTGGTCAGCTAAGGGAAGTCCTTTGGGGTGCATATACCATCCGAAGTCGTTTCCTGCTTTCCTTTGTACGGATTGCACATTGGATACGCCCCGTAGTCTTCCGGATTCAAAGTGCCAGGTCATCTTGCGCATGAGGGCGCACTCCGTGTGCCCACAGTTGCGTTCTTTCGCCATCGCTGCACACTCTTGGGAACTAAGGGGCAGTCCCGGACGCCGGTTCCAGTAGTCAGTACGATTGTCAGTCAAGTACTTGGGACGCAGGAACACCGGCGTATGATACGTCTTGAGTATGCTGCCTATAGCAACATTAGCCTGTGGAGCGTTTCAGAGCTTTGGCGCCCTCTTGGCATCGACTGTACCACTGATGCACGCAGAGTTGTCACGCGACGCCGGACACCCGTGATTGCTGCGGGCTCTAACTCATGACATGCTGACTTTTATTGTGCTACAGCTCACATGTGTGTGTGTCTGCGTGTACTTACCATTTGAACTTTTAACTTGACGGTCGGGAATGTTGGGTAGGCCGGTGTTACCGAAAAGCAATGGATGAGAGGCTTGCGTGAAGTGGCACTCTGAACAAAGGTGGCGCTAGGTGCACGACGGGACCCGGAAGCTTAGCATGTAGGCGAAGGGATGCCAAGGGTATTTGAGGGTGGAAGTTTAATCGGATGGGCGCCGGTTTGGGAGATGTATGGGGTGCAGGCTAAGCACGGGAGCTACAGGGGAAGGAGGGTGCAGTTGCAGTGGGAAGCATCCGTGGACGCGGAGAAAGGAAATGCCGGGGCCGGCTTGTATACAGCATGTGCACCTCGCCTTGCCACCGTGCCCGGTTAAGAATTTAGGTTGTGCGATAAAAGAATTAGCTGTGCTCAATCCGGTGGTAGGATGCAGTGTGGGTATGGGGTTAGGCCACTGCAGCTTTTGGATAAACTTTCGGCCTCGCGGAAGTCGCGACTGAAGAGCAAGCGGCATTTTGCGGAAGGAGGTTCGCATCAGTCCCTTGAGCGACTATGCAAGTAGGCACCCCGACAGATGGAGGGGAATGGCGACCAGGGACGGGCAGTGTTCTAAAAAGGCATGTAATTGAATGTCGTGCTCATGAATATGTTTTGTTCGTGGTGGCCCCTCCAGGCTGAGCGCACGTCTGCTGAGCTACAGAGCTGCGTTCGTTGCACACCCCCTTAGAGGGTCGTCTTTTCGCGACGTTGCGTAAGAAATTGGGCCCCCACGTCGCCTGGAAGCATATGTCCTCGTCGCGGCGTGCAGCATCGTTACTTCAGCCGCTTGTAAAAGATGGTTTTGGGGACAGGAAGCTTGCTTAGGACAATGCCATGGGATAAGCTGCAAGGTGTTCAATGCGTTCTCCTATGCCGGTATTTACCCAGCCCCAGTATACTAAGCTTGCGGCACCGATTCATGTAATGCCATCAGAGGATCAATCTTTTGCCCCATATAATCAATCCAGGGCCCCTTGCACGCAATGCGAAGCTTCAAGTGACCCTTCCGGCGGCGCCTAGTTTAGGGGTGTGGCTTGCGGGATAACCATGTCTGGTGACACAAATACGTCACTGGTAGTACGGCAAAACAACCTGAAGATTCCAAGGAGCTATGGCTGTACTTGCCAAGCACGTGCACTTGTGCTCTTGACCTTCACAGATATCAGTCCATATAAGCTGTGGGGTATCAGTCCATGGCCATTCGAAATGCTCGAAACAGGTTTTAGTGAAGTCCCGACAAGGTAGAAATACTAGCAAGGAATGGACGATCCACAGCTCCAGAGGGTGAGCGTCACAAGTAGGAAAGCATGGATCCCGCGACTAGGACTCGACATCTCGCTAACTGATAAGCATTAGACGACAGACTAAACTTCAGTCCTGGCTATACGCAGGCTATATATGCCAGCATTCAAACGGCACGGTCTCAGGGCTACAATTTAGGCTCGGGCAAAGGAACTGCACAGGTGCGCCAACGTAGAATGCGATGGGGCTGCAACATTTATCACAGCATGCTGGACGTACACGGTGTTACCCCCTGATCATGTGAACAGTTTGAACAACAGAAGTACACGCCTTACCAGCGGTACTATGCTCTGCTGTGAATGAACGACTGGCTCAATAACCCCCGGAAAGTTCTGCGCGTCGAGCCCTGGCGTGCGCGTGCACACACGCCACGCTTGCATGCCGCATTGTGCAAGGTTCCTTGCCGTGCCTAGCTCCCCGAACGCCGTACATGTTGCCGACCTTCCTGCATCCTTCCAGCCGGCGCGTGGCGGTGGTGGCGGTAATGGAAGCCAGGGCACCAGCACGCACAGGTCGACGGCTTTGGGTGCCCAGCGCGGCGGGGCCAGCGGCCACCGCAACCAGGCGCACCGCCCTCAGGTAGGGCAGAGGGAGGGCCCCGTCAAGTCGCAGGGCTTCCCCGTCAGCGACATCGGCGGACGACTCGAGCACCTCCTTGCAAATATGAGTGTTGTGGTGGTGATGGCGGGATTGGGAAATGGACCTTCTCCGCCTTTATAAGATATCTTCAGCTATCTTCTCTTCACGAACCAGTTTTTTAAGATCGCAGGATGCATACATGCACGCACACACGGGCATGCACACGCACGCAAACGCGGGCACGCGATCACGCAGGGGGCAGAAGTCCCCAGTGGCCAGCTCGGGGCCCCCGAGCCACACCTTCCGCTTCAGTCCGCACGTGCCGTACACATCGTCCCTTCCCCGGACCGTTTGCTGCTGCCTCACTTCCGTCCCCGTGCCTGGCGTCGTCGCCGTCACTGCTGCTGCTGTCGTGGTCACCACCACGGCCGCAGCCTCACAGCTATGCCGGCAACAGCTTCCCAGGCATGGGCTTCTCCTCCTCCGCTGCCGCCAGCGCCACCGGCGGTCGCACCGCCAATTCGCTGCGCACCAGCTTCGGCCGGATAGAGGCGCTGCGACGGGACGGTATTGCGCCCGCGTCAGGCAGCCCCATCACCCACTCCACGCCTTCCCACCACGCCCAAGCTCACCAAGCTCAGTCGCTTTCCCGCGCCAACAGCGGCGGCGGGGCGCCATCCAACAGGTATGCCTTCCCGCGCATGCCTTTCATGCCGTAAACGCCATACACGAATACGTGCACACGTACATGCGTGCGGGATAGAGGGGTTCCTTCCAGCGCTGTGCATCAGAGCTGCCTTGGGCAGAGCGTGGTGGTCTACAGTAAACCTCAGTAATCATCACCTAGGCGAAAATTCAAACTTCGATGCCATCAGCACGCTGTATGGATAAGGGAGACGACCTGAGACGGGTGCGAACCCGAGGAAGGAAACTGGCCGGTGCTCTGCTTCCGTAGTCAGGCATGCCGGGGCGGAGCCACAACGGGAGTTGTGGTTTTACACGACGCGCATTTTGGTTTTGTGCTTTTCACCCGTATTGAATATTTTCGCGACCCCATGTACGTCGCAGTCAGAGGACTTTAGGTCCGATGTCTCTCAGGTGCCTCTGTGTCTCACAGGAGGCCACCTCCTCCCTGGGGCCCTACTTAAGCAGTGCTGCCGCATCCGGGTCGCAGCGCCGCGGCGAGGCGCCTGCGAAGTGCACGTTGCGGCCCCGGGTAACCGGTTTCCCAATTTTTTCCTGACTAATTGCTTTTTGCGGTAATGATGCTACCAGCAACACCCTCCTACCTTTCCTCTCTGCGCGCTCAGACTTTGCACAATTGGTATATTGCTGGGTTGCTAGATATTCCGTTTCCCCCATCTGCCAGCCCCCTGCCAGCCTGCCACGTCCGATGCCTCAGCACCTCTACCGCTTTCTCTCGGCTGAACCCGGTGCTGGTGCTGGTGGGGGTCGGCGGGGACTCCCTCAGCTCTCCCCGGCCTTGTCTGGCGGTATAGCTACTTCTCCCCTTTGTGTCCACGGCCTCGCTGGCTGATTTCGGATTTGGGTAATTTTGGCTGACTGATTGACTGATTGGCATACGGACTGACGAATCGGCGACACGTATGCAGGGCCCAGCCGATGGCGGTACCGCCGCGAGTGGCGCTCTCACCACAGCGCCTCCGAAACCAAACCCAGCACGGCCAGCTGTCGGCCAGGCAAAGACCTGGCCAGCTGCAGGTGGGCTAAAATGCATTAGGCGTATAAGAGAGATAGAACGAGAGAAGTGAAAAATGGTTTTCCTTAGAGCGCTGCACAGGAAAAGGAACGAGATGCGAAGGCAGAGCAGCGGATTGCCAATAACCAACATTCCTATTCATTGCCTTCGAGGGGGGAGAGGTCTCCCGAAACGCAAGCTGCCGAAACTAAACGGACCCCAGAGCCGTAAAGCAACACGTGTCGTGTGATACCGCGCCGTGTCGTGTCACATATCGTGTCGCACAGACGTGGAGGCGGGAGAGACAGAGCTACGTTTCCCTGTATTCGCCCTACCATATCCTAACACGCAAAATACCCACCCACAACCTCAAATTGCACCCGCACCCACCCAACCCCTCCGGGCTCCCCCTCGGGCCAAACGGGTCCCAGCTTGCCCACTCACTACCCACCACAACTGCCCTCCGGAGCACCAATCCCGTACTGGAGGCCATCGCGGCAGTGACGGCAGAGGCCATGGACGCCCCCTACCCTCCTCCCACCACCGGCATCGCAAGTCCGATCGCGGTGACGCCGCTATCGCCGGGTGCCAGTAGCGGCAGATCGACGCAGCAGCAGCCCGTACGGAAAACGATGGGCACCACCGCTGCCGCCGCAGCTGCCGCCTCCGGCGGCGGCGGATTATCACCCTCCTCACCCGCACCCTCTTCACCCTCACCATCTGGGGCAGTATCGTTGTCAGCAGCTACTGCTGTGGCGGCGGCGCCCGTGGGGGCTGTGGGACCTCCCCCCCGGGCGCTACTGCCAGTGACTTCCCCCAGCGGCGGTGTGGTGCTTGTGCCCGAGGGGGTGGACCCGGTGCTGGCACAGATGGTACTGAGAGATGCAGTGACCTGGGATACAGGTCCGTGTACATGTGTGCCTGTCTGTGTGCCTGTCTGTGTGCCTGTCTGTGTGCCTGTCTGTGTGCCTGTCTGTGTGCCTGTCTGTGAGTTATTGGAGGGAAGTCACGGCAGGGGGCCCCTTCTTGGGATCCTGGGCCCTGCTGACTGACCGACTGACGGGTCCCCCTCCGGCCGCGGCACCCAGGAGTCACCTTCGACGACATCGTGGGGTGTGAGAGGGCCAAGCAGCTGCTGCATGAGGCCGTGGCCCTGCCCCTCATCATACCGGAGTTCTTTACGGGTCAGGGGGGAAGGGATGGCGAGGGGGAGAGGGATGGCGAAGGGGGGAAGGGCTGAAGTTATGGAAATTCAGATACGAGTGATTTAGTAAGGTTAGTGGGTAAAGTGGGGATGGTACTCCGGGTACATACCCGGTCTGTTCGTTGGGATGCATGGAGCTGTAAAGTCGGTGGATGCGGCGTGGTAGGTGGTGGTGATGGGGGCTCCTGGTGACGGCGATGAGGCGGGGGCGGGGAATTAGCGGGGCCACCTTCACCACCATTATTCAACTCCCTCTAACTGCTTAACACCGACAATTCTCTTAATCTTCCCCCATTCCCCACCCCGCCCATCCACCCCCCCCCTCTTCTCCGGCCCCTGAAACCCCGGAGGGTCGGCCCCCCTCCTCTTCCTCTGCTTCCACATCCACATGCCTTATCACCCGATTTTCTTCTCACCCTCGTTCGTTCCCCTCCAATCCCCTCCTCCCCCTCGCCCTCCTCTCCACCCCCACCCCGCTGTTCGCCCCCCCCACCACTTTAAAAACCTCAACCTCCTCCCACCACTTCTTCGCAACCCGCACACACTGCCTTCTTCACATTCCAACTCCCCCAATCCCTCCTCCATCACATGTGCATGTGTCTGTATCTGTCTGTCTGTCTGTCTGTTTATCTGTATGTATGTCCTCCGCCAGGTATTCGCGAGCCGTGGCGCGGTGTGCTGCTTCACGGTCCCCCGGGTAACGGCAAGACCCTGCTGGCCAAGGCGGTGGCTAAGATGGTGGGGGGAGCCTTCTTTGCGGTGAGGGGGAGGGTGGGGGGGTCGGGGGCTGGTTGCGGGATGTGCGGAGGTAGCCGAACTACGAGTGCCTGAGACGGAATGTTGTTGTGAAACCCCCGGCGGGGGGGATGGCCCCCTTCCGCCCCACCACAGGGGCGGGCGAGCGCTGACACCGGGGCGGGCTGTGCTGCGTCAGCCGCACCTAGCCAGTGGCTCTGTGGCCCCCGCGGATCCCTTCGAAATGAAAGGGTTTGTTAAATCGTGGTATGTATCTAAGTATGGGCGTGTACGGGGCACATCCGGCATCCCACCTGTCACCCGGTCAGACCTGATTTGCTCTTTCGCCCCTCCCCCCTCCCTTCCCCCCTCCCCTCCCCCCTCCCCTCCCCACCACACGACAGGTGTCCCCCTCCTCTCTGACCAGCAAGTGGAGGGGGGAGAGCGAGAAGCTGCTGGCCACATTGTTCGCGGTGGCGCAGGCTCATGCACCAGCCATCATCTTTATTGACGAGGTGGGGGAAGGTGGGGGAAGAGACGGCGGGGGAAGCGACGGGGGAAGGGCCCCGGCTTGCCGGAGGGGGGGAGCCCGAAGTCAGTGGGCACTCCTGCTGAAGGGGGTCATTGGCGTCAGAGTGCGGGCCCAGTGGGGGGGAGGGGGGGAGTGAAGCAACACCTCATGACATGTCGCGCCCCTTCCCTCTGCATTATCCCTTCACCGCACACGAACACACCACAGCCCCCCGCACAACCCCCAACACCTGTGACAGCACACCACGCAACCCCCAATTCGCCCCCCGGCCCCCGGCCCCGGCTATACCAGGTGGATGCGCTGGGGGGCGCTCGAGGCGTTGACGGGGAGCACGAGGCTAGTCGCAGGTTCAAGGCGGAGTTGCTACAGCAGGTACGGCATATGTACGGCACAGATGGACGGAGTGGAACGAAGAGAAAGGAGTAAAGGGAGAACTGTTGTGTTGTCGGGGGGTTGTCGGGGGGTTGCTGTTGTTTTGGTTGGTGCTGGTGCTGGTGTTGGTTGTGTCGTTGCGATATGCTGACGTGGATTGCAATGGTGTATGCTGCTGCTGCTGCTTGTGCTCCTGCTGCTGCCTGTCGGCTGGAGATGATGTTCGTACACTCATGTGTTCCGCTTCGCCTCCTGCGCACGTCTGTAGCGCACCTCACCTCCTCTTTCCGGGCCGTACAACCCGACTTTACCACACAACTCCGCCCCCCAAGCCCCCACGCTCAAATATGTCACCTTCGCACACTCTTTCCTTTCCTTATGCTGTACTGCACTTACACGTAAACACATACACACACTCTCTCCCCTCCTTCCCTCCTCAAAACCCCCTTGCACACGCATGCCACATTTCCTCACTCCCCTCCTCACTCTCCTGGCACCATTTCTTTGGTGGTCGTACTGCATTACCTGGTATGTCGTACCGGCAGATGGACGGGCTAGCCAGCGGCCGTGGTGTGATGGTTCTAGCCGCCACCAACTGCCCGTGGGACCTGGACCCCGCCCTGAGAAGGTGAGGAGAAGGGAAGGAGGAAGAGAAAATCTCTTAAAATGACGACGACCACCTATTTATTTTAGCACCAGCTGAATGTTTCCTGCCCGCGACTCACACGAAACACACCCCCGCACTCCCCTCTCCCCCCGCCCGGGGAGCACACAGGCGTCTTGAGAAGCGCATCCACATCGATCTTCCCGACACTGCCCAGCGCCTGGCCCTGCTCCACCTGCACCTGCGGGGAGTAGCAGTGGCCCCGGATGTGGACCTCGCCGCGCTGGCTGCGGCGTGTGAGGGATACAGCGGGGCCGATATCCGGCTGCTGTGCAGGTGGGGGGGGGGAGCGGAGGGGAGTGGGGGCCAGTGGGGGATTGGGGGGCTTGTTGTGGGGTTTTTGGATGTGCGAGGGTGGGGGGGTTGAAAGAGGGAAAGATGGGAGGCGGGTGCGTGAGGGGGTGAGGGGGGGTGAGGGGGGAAGGTGAACGTGTCGGGCCGCCGTAACGGCCGTGTGGTGCAAAGATCACTTTTTTCAGAGTGCATGGTAGAGTTTTTCAAACTCCCCTCGCACCTCTCATTGCAAACACGCCCGACCCTCTTTCAACCCGCCGGGATTTCCTCTCTCCTCCCCTCCGAAACCCCCAGGGATGCAGCCATGTCGCCCCTGCGTCGCCAACTAGGCGGCCTTGCCCTGAGCACCCCCTCCTCCTCCTCCTCCTCCCCACAACCTTTCGGACCCCAAAACCAACATCTTCAACAACAGCAGCAACAGTCACGTCAGGCCGCCGCTTCCTCTTCCGAGCCGTGTCCTGGTCCCCAGGCCGCCCCCCTGACTCTTCGCTCCGCCGCCGACATTCGCCGCTTGGCTGACAGCGGCGAGCTGGCGCGGGGTGCTGTGGTGAGAGCGGCGGATCTTGAGGCGGCGCGGGTCGCTGTGCGGCCCTCTGTGGAGGCGGATCAGGCGGCCAGGTACGTGCAGTGGGACAAGCAGTTCGCATCCACGTGACCTGCGGACAAGAGGGAGGCGAGGGAAGGAGGAGGGGGGGGAGGGGGAGGAGAGGGAGGAGAGGGAAGAAGGAGGAGAGAGCGGAAAGGGAGGAGAAGGGAGAAGGAGGAGAGGGAGGAGGAGGAGGAGGCGGAGGAGGAGGAGGCGGAGGAGGTGTTGTAGCGCGATAGCTACACAGTAATGATGAGCTTATTAAGAAATATACGAATCAATTATGACTATGAAATCTTCTGAAACTGACATGGCTGTCAAGGAATCGTTTGTAAGAATTCACCGGAACTGAACATCAAGAATCTGTACGACAGCCTTACCGAAATCCATAAATTTACTGAAATCGTCTTTGCTCACAGAACGGACGAGAGTTTGTTGAGAATTCATATTCTACTCACGTTCGGAGCGCGGTTTTATATCGTGGTCGGGGCAGTGCCGGCCTGAGACATACTTCACGGGCCTGTAGCATTGCACTACACTACAACAGGAGGAGAGGGAGGAGAAGGAGAGGGAGGAGAGGGAAGGAGGAGGAGGAGAGGGAGGAGAGGGAGGAGAGGGAGGAGAGGGAAGGAGGAGGAGGAGGAGGAGGAGAGGGAGGAGGAGGAGCGGTTCTTGTAGGAATATTAGGGGGAATTGAGGCGGAGGGGGACGAGAGGAGGTGTGTTTGGGAGGGGGGATGTTGCTGATGTGGGTGGAGGGGAGGTAAGCTGTAAGGGAAGCGGCGGAGGGAGGGGTTGAATGGCATTGGGAGGGGTGGAGCCCCTCCCGGTATGGGGACCAGCTGTGGGGTTCTTGCGGTACCTGGGCCAGTGTCGTGTGTATCGTTCGTGTGGGGCAGGGAACGGCGTGTGCCGACGTCTGTGCGCCACAAGCGCTTGGGTGAGGGCACTCCGGGATCACGTGTGTGGGTGGGTGTGATAGGGGGCCCTTGTATAAGCGGGTGACGGCGGGATAGTGAGGGGGAAGAGAGGGGGGGATGTGGGCAGCTAGATTCCCGTATCAAATGGCCGTTCGTGGTTCCCCTCAGGCTTTTACGGACGTCCCCTGCACGTGTGTGTGTAAGTGTATATGTGTGTGGGGGGGGGTAACATGCAACTCCCTCGTAACCTGTCGATGTGTTGGAAAGTGACCGAACACCCGGGTATGGTGTACCCATATGCAACAGAGTGGTGACAGCAGTGATAGGACCCGAGGGGTCCACGGCGCTTTGCTGACTCTGTAACACGACGTAGGGCAGGCACGCAGGTTAGGGCAGAGCAGAGCAGAGGTCCGAACAGTGCCCCACTAACACTCAGTCAGGCCATGTGTTGGGGGTGGGAGGGTGGGAGGGTGGTGGCCAGTGTCGGAATATTTTATAGAACCTCTGAACATGGCCGGAGAGCTGGAGGGGCACCCTGTAAGATACCGGCGATATCACAACCCTTGACTGCTGGGTAGGGCTGGGTAGGGCTGGGTAGGTACCGGATCCTGTACTGTACGTCGTACACTGTGTATTGATGTGTGTATTGGTGTGTGTGTGTGTAACCTGAAGTGATGTTAGGAAGTGGCAGTGTCCGTCGTGCCGTATTCCAGGTGGTGTATGTTTACACATACGTGGTGAGGCAACCGCGTCCAGTCCACTGCCGCACACACAGTCGCTAATCCGCACGCAGTCACCTCTACATACAGACATACACGCACTCACACACGTGCTAACGATGGGGAGCACACGCCACACGCGCCCCGTCCACCGATTGTGCGGCTAAACGAACTCCCCACCCCCGCAATCCAGTCCTGTACTGCAACCCCTGGCCCCCCCAACAATCTACAAACAGTCTTGCAATCTCAACCCTGCATACATAAATGCATACGACATTTGTCAGGCACTACTGGTAAAGCACACACTGATGCTCCCGGAGAATCTAGGATCGAGACCTGTCAGGGTCGAAAAGTCCTTCCGATGTTGGAAGGTGGAAGTGCCCCTAGTCGATGGACGGTGGTGAGCTGGGATAAAGTTAACTTACGAGCTGACCAGGATTGGAGTTGGGCCGCTGTCGACCCGGCAGATTCCGTTGGATGCCAGTGGTGGGTGCGGAACCTGAGCGATCCACTGAGAAGTTGACTAGGGTGACTGGATGAGGGTGCCCCGAAATACCGGGGAAGGCAGGGTTTCGCAGGGTAGCTGCCACGGGCAAAGATACACCCCCCTGTTTCACACTTCATACGGCTCCAGGCTTACGGCTCCAGACATACATACATACACACGGCTCCAGACACATCCAATGCGCTAATACGCCACCCTAACCCGCTAGTTGGTGTATGGTGCCGAAAAAACACACTACAGTGTCGTGGCGACAGGGAAACCCATCACGTCAGATCACTGCTGTGTGCCAGGATGTGCCAGGATGGGGTTTTTCTGTTGATGACCCACATTCAACCAACCAACCAACCAACTCTCTCTCTCTCCCGCTCACGCGTACGCACAACTATGTACGTGCCAAAGCCCCTTCCGTGCGGCGTACCGGCGCCAGCGCCAGCATGTCCAACTTCTTCTCATGCCAACCACGAGGTCATCGGTTATATGGCATGAAAACTGCAAAACCTACAAACAACAACAACAGCAACAACAAGAGGAACGACAACAACGCGGCTTTACCTCTCAGCCGATTCCAATGACTGTATCCGTCTTTAGCTGGATCCGTCTTTAGCACTATCACCACCACCATCATTACCATAACCATTACCGCTATCACGACCATTATCATTGCCACTACCACTACCACCACCACTACCACCACCACCACCACTACCACCACCACCACCACTACCACCACCACCACCACTACCACCACCACCACCACTACCACCACCACCACTACCACAACTATGCAACGAAGGGGATCAATTTTCCACTTGCGCAAACACAGCAATACCGTGCAGCGCGACACAACTCAAGCAATCCAACTTAACAAACAAAGCGCTATTGCGTACCTACCCTTTTCCGTTTCAAAGCGCAGTTGCAATTTGGAAAGGCTAATCTTGACCGGCCGCCACACCTAGCCTTGCAAGCGAACCCAGCTGCTTGTATGGCACAGCCTACGACCTATATAACATTGAACTCTGATGGGTACATGCTACCACCCGCGGATTAATCAATCTGCCATCTATCACCTCCCAACTTTCCAATCATCGTCAAACATCCCCGACAGCTTGCGGTATCCTGACACGCTGGAGTCCGTGCCTGGCGCGTGTGTATAGCCCGACACTGCAACACCCCCCCTCCCAATGTACCGTATTGCGGCCCCTACCCGGTACTTGCAATGCCTCCGCGTCATGCTTGCCACACAGATGCACAGACAGACATTCAGATGTACAGGTGTACGCTCAAGAACAGATTCACACACGTATATGCGCTCGCTCGCACACGCACGTACACAGGCGACGTTGCACAGGCGACAAGCGCTGCCTTACTTTGCGACTTCGCCCCGGTTGCCGGTGAAGGCCGCTGAGTATTGCTCACTCGTCCACCAAACCCAAACCAAAGGGGGAGCCCATTCCGTTTTTCATTAGCGTTTCCCCCCCCTTTCATTGGCGTCTAGCAGCATTGACAAATTAGGCGTCCCGGGAAGACACTGGACTGGGGCAACTAACAGAAAACGTCTGGATGGCCGGACCAACAACACTGCTGTATGCAGCGCATACACCACATGCAGCACCCCATCTGCCTTGCGTGTTTCGGGGTACTGCTCGCACGGCACGGCACCCGATGTAAGCGGTTTCATCTCCATCCTCTACATCTCCGCCACGCAGATGACCCATCGGCACATCTGACAATCTAGGGAAAAAGCCGAAAAGCCCAATATCACCCCATTCTCCCCAACCACCCAGCCCAAGCCATTCCAATCCACGACTCCCAACACTCCAAATCGGCGCTATACTTCAAAAGCCCGAACTGGACTCCGGTGTCCTGCGCGTTGTGCACACGTCGGAAGCCGTATAGATGCCCAGCACAAGCCACCGGTCTCACTGCAGCCAGGCAGCCCGTAGGCCCCCCCCGCGGAGGGTTGCCCCTCAGCGACCCCCCCTCGCACACTGTCGCGAGCCCTCCCGACAGCCGGATAGCTTGCTGGTGCCGGTGGCGCCACGGGGCGCGGCACCGCGGCTGACGCCGCGGGCGCCACGGGTTCCGGAGCTGTCAGCTTGCCGTGCTGCTTTGGCGCCCCCTCGCAGGTGCCTGGTGCCGCCGCCCTTATTGCGCTGGACCCAGTGCTCCAGGGCGCGTAGGAAAGCCAGGCGACTTGCCATGAGGGCAACGTGCGGCCGGTGGTACGGCAGTCGTACGGGGGAGCCGACGGAGGCGAAAGAAGCCACAGGGGCAGCACCCGCCACGGTTGCGGTGGTAGCGCTCTTCAGGGATCTTCCTCCATGGCTGCTGGTGCCGCCGGCGCTGGCTGTTATGCTGTCGGAGCTGGTGGTTGCTGCATGCATGGCACCGATGACGTTGTCTGGCAGGTAAGGCCGCAACCTTGGGGTGCCGTCCCCGGACCGCTTGCCCTTAGGGCCCTTCCGGCTTCCGGGAGTGTTGGCGGCTGGTGGGGAGCTTACAGAGGCGCCGCTGATGTGTCGCTTTCTGTCTCTCGCGGCAGCGCTGCTGGCGCGGTCAAAAGCAGTCGTGGACTCGCCATTTCCTCGGGTGCGCCGGTGAGCAGCCACGTGCCTTTTTTCAGTGCCACCAGTGATTAGTGTGCGACCGTTGTTGATGGTGGACGATTGCTGCTCGGCAATTTCTTCACGATTGGCAGCGACTGCATTGGATATACAGCATCCCAATGGCAAATAAAAATCCAGTAAAAGTGCCTTTATGTTGTGTCTTAAGTTGTGTCTTTAAACAGAACCCAAGAAGAAACATAAAAATCTTAAACCCTTTTCCCATGCCAATCCTTGCTTAAACAGCGCCGAGAGGCAGGCAGCGAGACCTCAATTTAATCAGCATAATAAATGCAAGATGAGAGTAAATGGGTAAGTGGGAACCCAGACACGTGCTCAAAGAAGGGAAACGCAGGCTCATGTGGCAGGCAGAGGTCCGACCAGGCGGAAAGGGAAGCGCCTCGCAAATCCGACGATTCATGCTGCCTTCATACCTATTGGAGCTTGTTTAGCAGCTATAACTGTCTCTCCCAAAGCCGCGGCTTGAACGTAATACCTTGGCCAGGCCGCATTCCACAATAACAGCAGGAGACATAAGGACAGGCGCCACCCTGTCGCCATTTTGTTACATCTTAATCACAAAAACTCATCTTGCAGCCCGATTGGTGTCAACTTGCATCTGCACTTGGGTACCAGAGCAAGCAGTAGCCTACTCCTGGGCCTCATACGCTGAACTCATGACCCGCAAAATGAGGCAAGTGTGATGTGGATATTATAAAGCAAAGGAGAGTGCAAATGGTAACAGAGTAAAGGGTCGTACACCTGCGAACATTCGACGTACGGTCTCAGGCTACCACGCCCTGTGCTTGCATCAATCGTCCATATGAGATTTTCCTTGTTGCAAGATTTATTAAAAATTTTATATACTACAAATACCTTTGCGGCTAACCAAAAACGCCTATCCTCGCGGAAGCAGAAAAGTCACTGGATTGGTCTGTGCAGGGTAGAACTGTAGTGAATCTGGGACAATACTACGATAACTAAAGTTCCACAGTCTCGAAACTTGTGAATAACATGAAATGCTGGCTCAGAGCTCTACCCAAATAACAACGCGGTCAGTTACAACGGTGAACCGCGGTCAAACATTCCAACTGACGTGTGAAGGAGAGAGGGGATCGGGAGGAGGTTTGGGGAGAGTGGGGGGTTATGGGAGAGAGGGTTAAAAGGGAGTTGGGGACGGTGGGTTGGGGGAGAGCGAGAGGGTGGGAGAAGGTGGATGCCTTGCATAAAAGTGAAAAGGAGGTTGGAAAGGCGGACACCCCACCCCACAAAAGGAAAACAGCACAAGAGAAAGGGTAAGAGGAAAAAAAAGCTGCCACCTGCGTTCTTTGGGAACAGATCCATAGGATCCTTTACTTATACTAGTACTGCTACCCGTTCCCCCAGACAACCAAACCTTTTCTGTGTGCCACAACATACTTATGATGGATTTGGCGGTTGGGCAGATTTTAGATCTCACTATGTTTCGCCTGAGCGCCATCCTATCGTAACGTATATGATGTTATACGCGGTCTGGTCTGGAGGCACTACTGCGATTAGCGGTTTGAAGTCCCATTGATTCCTGGTAGGACCCCTGACTTTGTCAAAGCGTTAGGTTACGGGCTAACTGCTGAGATGAGCAGTGCCGAACTATCGAACGATTCATCCTCGCAAGCAGCAGCGTCATTAGAGTGTTGAAGAGGCAGGTGCGCCCAAGCCAAGGTTTGCTCTCAAACCATGCTACAGCGCGCAGCGAATCATACAGGCTCGCTGCATGGCTTACCAAGCCATACAGGCAGACAGGCTCACACATACCACATACCGAACGCGCCGCTGTGCAGAATGCGTTTCTCGCTAAAAAATAAATACACATATGAACAGGCCAATAACATTAACAACAAAGGACTGAGGCGCCATTAAAGCCCACCTTCAGAGAAGAGCCGAAGCCACGCACGGGAAAATGCAGAGTCGGCAGGGACAGCATGCATCCGTACATACATACCGCCGCATCACTAGCAAGCTGCACACCTTGCCTGCCAGCCACCCGGGCGAACACACCCTCTTATCTCCCCCCTCCTTTCCCGCATTACCAGAACAAACGGGCACCACCCCTGGCACCTCCCGCGGGTGCCTGACGAACAGATGGCACGTGTTGATGGGAAGTGGGAGCGACCTCACCTGCAGCTCGCCAGCCCATACACCAGTCCGTCTGTCTGTCTGTCTGTCAGTCTATACTGTTTATAGCAATGTGCAATAGCAGCTCCACTTCTCTCCTCCCCTTCTGCACAATCAGGCCTTCAGCTGACACGACGACATCGGACAGTGTACTTTGCAAAACAGTTTACGCTCTCTGCAAAACAAAGGTTGACAGCTCATGACATTCCCCCACACCTCCCTCCCAAATGAATCACAAAACCCTCGTACGCGTACCTGCCTTACATCACGCCCCCTTTAAGTCAGTCCTGAGCACCGTACGGCAATCCTCCGTACATTCCTCTTCCACTGCTACCTGCAACCCGTGCTGCTTTCCACCTGCTGACACCTGCTTACCCAGATCAGGCTACCTAGCATGTCTGAGTGTGTGCGCCGTACAACAATGGCGCCAACACAGCCATACATACATACATACATATGGACGAACGTATGGTACATAGGCGAGAGCAGAAGCAGGGGCCCAGCAGGCCCCTCTCTCAGGTCCATCCGACCGGTTTAGAGGTTCTGCCGCGCAATCATGTCCGGTTCGGCTATGCGATATGTCAAAACAATGGAGGCCCCCCCCCCCACACACAGCGAATGATTATACCCAAATCTGCGCCGCTAGTGCCGCCGCACTGCTGCTGCTGCTGCTGCTGGGTTAGGGCACCCCCCCGCCATGAAAGTGCCCCCCTACAGCCGGCGGATTGAGAGGCTGATGGCTTCCCGCAACACCCCCCCTTAGACATCTCACACAGTCTCCCAGTACACCGTTTCGTTCGACATCCAGTCTTTAGCGCCGGTATGTGTGTATGTCAGTACGTATGCACGTCTCACTCTCACGGCGGCGCAAGGAGTCCACAGAGCAGCACCGCAAAACCCCTGCCTGCTGACCACCTTGCTTCGCTCTCTTATCGAAAGTTGGCACGACG